TTGAATAGTTTCATTACAATAGTAGGGCAAGGTTTGTATAATTTCCAAAGAATTTTGGTGGCGCGATGTAAGTCACGCCGCGCATGCGCAAATAGAGGCTTGACACGTGCATTTTGGCGCCAGTTATAAATTTAACATACTGAACATCGTGTATAATTGTTTATACACTGTATTGTATGAGTGTTTATACACTGTATTGTATGAGTGTTTATACACTATTGTATGAGTGTTTATACACTGTATTGTATGAGTGTTTATACACTTGAAGATACCTGTTCCTTACACAGTGGCTGGTATCGAAGGAGCACCGTCGTGGTGTTCCTCAAGACCCCAGGGGCTGATGGACGAGGCAGTGACATGCCATGAGTCGAGGGGGGTGCACTACGATGATTGCCGGGTGCTGGTGATACCTTCTGAGCAGCTTCGCCACTTGAGCAAATGTTCGCCATCGTTGTTGGGTTCATTATTGGTCGATAGTTTCTTCAAATGTTTAACTCTACAATGTCGTTTGGCTTATTGTTTACCTTAGGAAATATATAAAGATAGGTCCTTAAGCGTTCAATTAAGTGGCAAGGAGGAAAATAAATGAATATTGATTCTCGACTACATTACTTGCTACGAGGTAGGTAATGTAGGCGAGGAGGAGAGGGTTTGTGTAGGGTAAGTGAAGTGTGGCTGTTCGTTACCGTAGACTTGGTTTGACCGATCCGCTTCGCCTGCCACTATTGTTGATCTCTTCCGCAACCCTCTCTCGTCAGACTCATGCTTTCTCGCATTCATTAGTTCATTGTTTGTAATAGTGGTCTTTGTAGCCCCCCCCCCCCTAGGTCAGATGTTTGGTGCAGGGACTGCCCTCAGAGCCAGGGCTGCTGTTTGCGCCGGGGCTGCCGAGATTAAAAGAATCACTGATAGCAAATGTGGTGTGTGTATTCATGAGCATCGCTGAGACGCGCTTTCACACTTGATATTGCTGGCGATGGTAATCTTATATCTCAGGGGGAGAGAGCCCCCCCGGGCCGTGACCCAGGGGGAGAGAGTGAGCCCCCAGACCGTGACCCAGGGGGGGGGAGAGTGAGCCCCCAGACCGTGACCCAGGGGGAGAGAGTGAGCCCCCAGACCGTGACCCAGGGGGGGGGAGAGTGAGGCCCCCAGACCGTGACCCAGGGGGGAGAGTGAGCCCCCAGACCGTGACCCAAGAGGAGAGAGCGCCGCCCCCGGACCCCACCCCACATAGCAAGACGGACCAAACCCGGACACTTTTCCTCCCCCAGCCCCTCCTGCCTCTCTTAAACTTTTCTGCTCTGTCCACTTGGTCTCTTCCCCTCGCCCTCACCGGGGGTAATTTTTAGATAATTGTCATGTCACGTCTGAGTGATGGGAGACACGTTTTCATAACTGCGTCGACACCAGAGTGGTCCCGGGGTCCCGACCCGGAGGGTGGACAGTCACCTACCCCTGGTGACTCGCCAGGGTAGGGGAGGGTCACGTGACCTGGTCTCTACGTGACTCTGGGACTCCATTATTTGCAGCGAAACAAAATTATGATGAATGGAATCGTCGACAATTTGGGTGGTCTTGCCAATCATCAGTGTTTTCCAATAGCCTTTTGACTTGTCCCTTGGCTAGTCCGGGATTAATTCTCATGCCGACACAATAGTTTATATATATATATATATATATATATATATATATATATATATATATATATATATATATATATATATATATATATATATATATATATATATGTCGTACCTAGTAGCCAGAACGCACTTCTCAGCCTACTATGCAAGGCCCGATTTGCCTAATAAGCCAAGTTTTTATGAATTAATTGTTTTTCGACTACCTAACCTACCTAACCTAACCTAACCTAACTTTTTCCGCTACCGAACCTAACCTAACCTATAAAGATAGGTTAGGTTAGGTTAGGTAGGGTTGGTTAGGTTCGGTCATATATCTACGTTAATTTTAACTCCAATAACAAAAAATTGACCTCATACATAATGAAATGGGTAGCTTTGTCATTTCATAAGAAAAAAAATTAGAGAAAATATATTAATTCAGGAAAACTTGGCTTATTAGGCAAATCGGGCCTTGCATAGTAGGCTGAGAAGTGCGTTCTGGCTACTAGGTACGACATATATATATATATATATATAATATATGTCGTACCTAGTAGCCAGAACTCACTTCTCAGCCTACTATGCAAGGCCCGATTTGCCTAATAAGCCAAGTTTTCATGAATTAATTGTTTTTCGACTACCTAACCTACCTAACCTAACCTAACCTAACTTTTTCGGCTACCTAACCTAACCTAATCTATAAAGATAGGTTAGGTTAGGTTAGGTAGGGTTGGTTAGGTTCTGTCATATATCTACGTTAATTTTAACTCCAATAAAAAGAAATTGACCAAATACATAATGAAATGGGTAGCTTTATCATTTCATAAGAAAAAAATTAGAGAAAATATATTAATTCAGGAAAACTTGGCTTATTAGGCAAATCGGGCCTTGCAAAGTAGGCTGAGAAGTGCGTTCTGGCTACTAGGTACGACATATATATATATATATATATATATATATATAATTTTATTTTATTTATTTATTTATTATTATTATTATTATTATTATATCAAAGAAACAAGTACGATATAATCACCAAATATTTTCTACTCACTTTTGCACATACGGGATGTATGAAGCGTTCATTGGAGTTCATTCCGTTGCTAAACCATTAGTATTGCTAGAGAAATGTGGATGCACTTGAGTGTTGGTGAGTGTAGAGCAAATTACCCGTCACCCCCCGAGCCTGACCCGTCACCCCTCGAGCCTGACCCGTCACCCCCCGAGCCTGACCCGTAACCTCCGAGCCTGACCCGCTGGGCTCCGGTCTTAGGTGCATAGATCATGCCGAGTATGGAACTGGGGCAAGTTAACTCTGAGTAATGGGTTGCCAGGTCTATTTCTTTAGTGAATATCCGGCGCCGTGTGGTATGTTTCCGGGCTAAAGTTGCATATTTTGTGCTTGAGCTCATCTTACCTGGATTACTTTTGACTTGTCTACCCTAGGGGGGGGGCTGGTGACCACATTCTCGGCGATATTGTATTCTCCAGACTATTGTTGCTAGCAGCTTGCAGTCTGTTGTAGTCAATTCAGCTCTGTGGTAGTTTTTATTTCTTCAGAACATTGTGATTTGCGTAAAGCACTTTTAAGGGATCAAGACTGGCGAGTGCGTATTCCATGAATAGTTTTTCTGTGTAACTAGGCATCTAAATGAAAAGGTTTATTGATTGATAACAAAAGGCTAAGGTATTTTAGCCTTTGTTGTCAATCACACCCTTGTACTTTTATTTTGCTAACTATCCATTGCTTTACCGTCTCGGATATTGATTTTGCTACCCCAGTGGTCTAGGCTTGTCGCTTCGATGACTTCTAAATCCTCCACACCACATCCAGCAGCCATGATAACAGCACGCAACGGCAGACCACTGCTACCTTGTATACCTTGTAGAAAATCTGCATGGTCCCAAACCTGCACACAGAAATGACACCACATGAGACCAGAAGGCATGGCAGGATGTGCAGAATACCCCCGTCGAAGAGCAGAGGTGCAACAGTTACTCTGAGAGAGAACTCTATCAACATCAGAGGCCCGAGACTGTTCAACACGCTTCCACTACACATAAGGGGCATAACTGGCCGACCCCTCAGTGTTCAAGAGAGAACTATCAACATCAGAGGCCCGAGACTGTTCAACACGCTTCCACTACACATAAGGGGCATAACTGGCCGACCCCTCACAGTGTTCAAGAGAGAACTATCAACATCAGAGGCCCGAGACTGTTCAACACGCTTCCACTACACATAAGGGGCATAAATCACAGTTTTCAAGAGAGAACATGATAAACACCTCTAAAGGATACCTGATCAACCAGGCTGTGATTCATACGTCAGGCTGCGAGCTGCCGCGTCCAACAGCCTACTTGACCATTCATGCAACCAGGAGGCTAGGGACCGGGCCGCGGGGACATTGAGCCCCGAAATCATCGCAAGGTAAGGTACATTTTAAAACGCTGCTACTTGCTCAGGTTGTCTGGTAACCACCCATCACATGCCTCTACAGTGAGTTACCGCTACCACAAATCGCGATTTGAATTGGTTTCTCAACCTAAGTAAATGTTTATTCATAGCCTAATCGGGTGCTATTCTCCCTCCTAAAAAAAACTGTTGCTAATTTGGCAGGAACTCGCTCTAATTTGATAACGGGGAAGTACCCAAGCGACCTCTTAAGAACTGTAGCTAAACTGCGCTCATGAATAGAACAAAAAATCAACACTACACGAGGTAAGGAAATAAGTAGGGATCATGGTGCTAAATAAGAGGGATCAGGGTGCTAAATAAGAGGGATCATGGTGCTAAATAAGAGGGATCATGGTGCTAAATAAGAAGGATTATAGTGCTAAATGCACCACATGATTTGCAGCAAAACGCACTCACGCACGCGTAATGACCCCGAAGTAAATTCTATTGCCTCGTGTAACGCTGGAAGACATACTCGAGAGACACTGGCATATTTTCCAGCAAAGGTGTTGGGGGTGGCAGTGTTGCGGAGGTTCTACATTAGCAAGATTGGATGTGTGATAGACTAGGTGGTGGCACTCGTTTTCTCTCACAGGGTGAGGCACATTCAGGAAGACAGACCTGTTTAGAACGATGCTATGAAGATCATTCAGGAAGACAGACCCGTTAAGAACGATGCTATGAAGATCATTCAGGAAGACAGACCCGTTTAGAACGATGCTATGAAGATCATTCAGGAAGACAGACCCGTTTAGAACGATGCTATGAAGATCATTCAGGAAGACAGACCCGTTTAGAACGATGCTGTGAAGATCATTCAGGATGTGTGTGTTTTATTGTGCATAGTTGTAGATGTAGAAGATGGGACTTGGGTTAATGCTGTAGGTTTGCGTGTTGAATTAAGATTGTTTTTGTTGCAGGTGTACCGAGAGCTGGGGCGGGAGGTGGAGGTGGCTACACTGTACGGCTACAATGCCTGCGTCCTGGCGTACGGACAGTCCGGCTCTGGCAAGACCTATACCATCCTCGGCCACAAGGTCAGTTTAGTACGCAGCCCATAACCCGTCCAGTGCGCAGTGGCTCAAAGGTCGCAGCCACTTACATTTAGTACTATAGCTACGGTAGGCAAACCAGGTCAGCAATTAGCTATGTCACTTCATGTCTTGCAAGGTTAACCTTGACTAATTCTGGCTAACCTCTGTATTTACATCGGCACATGTACGATAATTAATTAGCATTTTATAAACATTTCATGTAAGAGTAATGTTTTATTGTGATGAAATTTGTATATATAAAATTGATGGACCGAAACCTCAATTCATCATTTTTCTGATTTATGCGTTGGGTGTTCATAAAAGGTGAAGTTTCAAATTCGTTGAATCTGGTGGATTTTGGCATCTTTATTAGTTATGATATGATAATTGTACAAGAAAGCGGTAACAAATTATTTTTAATGTACATTAATAAGTCGGCACGTCATGAACTCTTATCAAATAATGCATTACATGATTTGAAGTCAAGATACTTCTTTTAACATGTTGCAGCCAGAATAATCGTTATATACTAACCTTATCCAAAACTCAATGACTAACCTTTATACCTATTTTTCCTGTATGTCTGGAAAATGATGAGGAAATGATAGGGGGGCGAGGTTTATAAGGGGTAATGTGAGCTGGTAACGAAGGTACTACCAAACATTAATTGGCTCTCTGGAGGTCATTGTCTTGAACAAATGAGGTTGATCTATAATTCATGTTGTGTAGTCCGTGGGCTAGGCCTCATAAACTAGACCCATACATTAGGCCGCCACATGGCATGACTTTATTATCGGAGGTTATTATTATTTATTAACATCTTTATTGATAAAATTAACTACAATTTTGCCTAATCTGAGGATTTCAACTAAGTCCTATTAAAGTAAGGATAATGCTGGTATTCACTGTCACGCAGGACAGAGGGTCATACACAAGACAATAGGTCTAAACTGGCACATATATATATCATGGTTACAATCAATGTTTTAATGTATGAATATGTGAAAACAACTATCAGAGGTTAAACCCTTCAGGATGCCCCGGGGTTGGCGCCCCGGATGTGTGAGGGGCTGCTGACTAGGCTGCAGGAGAGATACGCCCCGGATGATCTCTGTGCGCAGGACTTCTCTCTCTCCCTCAGGTATCTTGCCCTGTGTTCTCAGTCACACCTCTAGAATTACATACGTTACAAAGGTCTGTTATTCCTTTTGAATTTTCAAAAGGTGTTTGTAAAAACATTTTCATGTTTGAAAATGTTCCTAACTAAATAATTTCCTGCTTTAACTGCAGCTCCAAATTCTAGTCTGTACTTTTCTACAAAGAAAATGAATTCCTTATTCCTTGCGATATCCCGCTTTGTAACGTGGCTTTGCTAACTATCCATCCTATAATACCTTTTTTTCCCGTGATGTGTTCCTATATGTGTTGAAAGTGAGCTTTGATTATAATAATTAAAACTGATTTGGGATCAAATGACTTAAGATTTTATTTATAAACATCATACCACGAAAAGCTAAATTAGCCTAATTTGATATATATATATATATATATATATATATATATATATATATATATATATATATATATATATATATATATATATATATATATATATTGCTCATAGATTTGCCTTGCTGATCAAAAAACACAAATTTTACACTAAATATTCATTTAGTATTTGATAATTTGACAAGAAAATAACGTGTGATGTATTGGAATTTTCTGTTTATAACTCATGTTATTTGATGAAACTAATATATACGAATATAATAAAACAAATCTCGAGCCATTTTCTACAGCCTTGTTGAGATCTACAATGAGCGCGTGAGAGACCTGCTGACGGAGGAGTCTGAGGCAGGTAGATGTCTCCGTGTGAGAGAACACCCTCACACCGGCCCCTACGTTGATGGTAAGAGCAACTACGGGCTCACCATAGCCCTTGCTACTTGGGAATTTTTGTTCCAAGTAGCGAATCTTAAACAACAAAAACAGAATTACCATCGAATTAAGAGAATTACTACACTTGTATACATTACTTATATATTATATACTACAGTATAGTACAAATTAATATAAAGTACTATTAAGTAATATACTTAATAGTATATTAAGTAATATACAAATTAATACACTATTAGGTAATGTATACAAGAGATTACTTAATTACCAGGTGCCTTTTCATCATTAAATACATATAAATGTTTTAACAATTCTAATGGGCTGATGCCTTCCCATTCCGTGAAAATGTGAGAAAATGGTTAATAATAAATCTGTGCATCCAAGCTCTAGGGGGGGAAGGGGGTGGAAATATTAAGCAAGCATAATGAAATGAAAGTTAACTAAAATCTGTTAAAATAAGGCTATTAACATGAATTAAATGTGTTGCAGGTGTGACGCGCCACCCGGTAACAGATGCGGGTGTTGCGTGGTCACTACTAGAGCGAGGGCGGGCAAGTCGCAGTGTAGCTTCCACGGCCTCTCATGCCCAATCGTCTAGGTCACACGCCCTCTTGATCCTGGATGTGACCCAGCCCGCGGCGCACACGCGTTCCACTCTCACCTTAGTTGATCTAGCTGGCAGGTAAACTTTTTTTTTATGAATTGTTTGTTAAATTCTAAATGAAGTATTTGTTCAGTTGTAGATTTTTGTTTGCGATAGATATATACAATAATTTTCGTTAAACTGAGTATAACTGGACTGTGCTCAAATTATATGAAAGAAATTTCCTCATGTACAGCTGTTATAGTTAATGAGGAAATAAAACCTGGGTAGAATCCAAGGATTTTTCACTTATTTTGCTTGGAATATTCTTTGAATTTTAAAGTATATTACTTTCCATGTTTATTTGTTTTTAATTAACAGTGAACGTGCAAGTGCTGATGTGGACAAGACACGCTTGACAGAGGGTGCTAGCATCAACCGTTCCCTTGTTACACTTGGCAATGTCATATCTGCATTAGGTAATGTGTTGGAGAGTATTATTAAAATACTGTACCTGGAAAGGCAACATTTGCCTGCTTATAAATGTGAAATTTGATAATATTTATATAACGTGAATAGAATGTTTTAACCCCTCTGGGTGACAACTATGTGCAAATCTTACAAAAAATAATTGAAAATAAGATTTGGTAAATTTCTTCTTTGCAAATGAGTTGAAAATATTTAATTAAGCATACTGTATACTGTATATAAATAAATTCCCAAAATATATCTTTTGATATACAAAATTTCAAATTACAGTAATTAAATTCTGATTTCGATATTGGTTTCTGAAATTTGGATGAGAGTTGCATATTTATTTTCTTTACTTCTCATGTATGATTCTGGGGAAAACATAAAATAAATAAGAGTAAATGAAGAATGGTGCTAAACCTCATCACATACTCAATATACAGTATTCAATAAATATTTTTGGAAACTGTCATACCATGTGCTCCAAAATTCTTCTAATTATTTTATGTATAACAGTGTTTATCATTTTATTTGGCAATAATAGCCAGAGATAAAAAATCTTGATAATTATAGGGATTTATAAGCAAACCCCATTTCTTCTGATTTCTTCAGTGAAAAACCTCGCATGATGTTGTCTAAGGGTTAACCATTAATTTATATACAGTACAGTATTCTTAAAGACTTTCATCTAGTAATTGAATTTGTAGTTTTTACCCAGGTTATTTACCACAGTTTCCAAGATATGAAATATTAGACTTCACATTGTGTTAGGAGGCACTGTTATGTTAATTTATTACTTTTATGGTTACTGTACTTGTATTTTGATACTGTATTACTAATATTCTATAGCAATACTAAATGTTAATGTTAAATGCCTGAACATGTGGATAACATTATCTTATATATCCCATTATCTTTCTTAAAAGCTGATAATTATTATTAATTTTTACTGTATGTCTGTATCCACATGGTGGGGACACAAGGAGATTAATCTCTCATGGTATGTCCCTGTACATTTAACATGCAGATCAAAAGTAAACTTGGCATGTAAATCCTCAACTTGTGTTTCTTTTACTGATTTATTGAACACTTATCAGCCATTACTAATCTGTCCCTTGTAGATCTTTCCTCAGTGTTGTACGTTAATTATTTGGTTAGTTTCTCCTCATGTTCATTTTTACTGTGCACTCCTAACTTAATATTAAAATTGTCTAGTTTTCAATGTGATGAATGTGTTTAGGGTGGGAATAATATAAATAAAAAGTTGGTGTCGTACTCACTGTTTTACTATTCTAATGCAGCCGTGCATAAGGCCCAGGGCTGTGTGTGTTGTGGTAGGTGGCGGGGTCTCTCACTCTCTGCATGCTCCATCATGCCCTCGTCTTGTTGGTAGACTTACGGTAGTGCTCCTGCAAATATATTATGTTTGTATCTCTAGTAATTTTGTGCAAGTTTTATAGTTTAGTAATGTAGAATATTAACTAAACTGCTTTCCTATTTCAGGTAAATTAAATGGTAAAACTTACTTTGGACAAAGTATTGTAAATTAAAACTCTCAATGAATGTTGATGCTAAACATTTTAACTGCTTAGATAAATCAGACCTAGTATAGTCTCTTAAACATATAATTTGTTAACATTCCTTGTGAAAATAAAACTGCTGCTTCATAAAGCTGAATGGTATATTTTTACCACTGTTAAAAATATATTTAAAATGTTAGTGATATAAATTTATGTTGTGTCATACAGAGTAAAATGTTAAAGTGAACCACATCGAAGAAAACCATATGCAAACTATTTAGTATCTTAGTAAAAAATTATAGTCGAGATTTTAGCACTACTATAATGTATTTGACAAGGTATTAAACACTGTATTGCAGTACATTAATATACTGTGTCTGAAAGATGATGTGCATGGTAAAATTCCACAAATATTCTGTGAACAAAGATAAATTCAGAAATAAGAAATTACTTGAAGTTTGAATGCATAATATTTTTTCTCTAGACATGAAAAAATATACAGTACTGTGTGTGTTAAGTGTTATTTAAATGTAATGTAAATCTAAAATATGGTTTTCTGTTCTTGTGGGAATGTTTTTCAAATTTATTATACTGAACTTCTAAGCATGACATGTTGTTTAGTCTTATATACTGTAGTGCTTTTGGGAGGAATGCCATCTTTACATACTTGTACACATATATATAATATTCTAGATATCGCACCTTGCAAGTTCTAACTACTATCATATTCTACTTTGCAGCTGAACGTGGAATGGCATTAGGCTCGACCATAGCTGGTTCTCTGCTTGGGTCTAACCTGTCCTTGAACAGTACAACTTCCCGGCCCACCTATGCCCAGTCCCACTCTACTATAACAGGGACAGAAGGGATGCCTCCACTCTGTCAGACAAGGAATCCAAGGCTGCCATTTATACCCTATAGAGATTCGGTGCTCACATGGTTACTTAAGGACACATTAGGAGGCAATGCAAAAACACTTATGATTGCAAGTGAGTACATATTATAGTTAGAATGACATTTTTCTTATAGAATCTTCTGCAAAGTACTGGATTTTACACCTTGTCACTGAAACAATTTGGACATGCTGCAGATTGTATGGTTTCATAATGATAAGTGTCTTATAATGCTTATGAATGATAAGCATTATTTGGGGGGTCGGTACCAGACAGGAGAGAAATGGTTGGACATCTTTCCTTTCACCTGAGCAGTTAAATTGGTATCCAGGAGTAAAAACACTGCTGCAGGTTGCATCCTTGGAAAGGTCGGTAGTTGGCCTAGGAGACATTGATAAGTTAAAGTACAGTACAGGAATTATTCTGAACACCTTTTAATTTGTTTTCTGCAATATATTATCATCCTCTCTGAGCATGGGTGAAAAGCACTGAATTATTTATTTTTTATTTGTATTCAAGAAGGTATAATGGGTTGTGAAATGTCATGTATTGGTGATTGGTGGTATTGTACATTCTTGCAAAGCCACTAACACACCATAGTTTGGGATGGTCCTTGAGCTAACTAATAAATGTAATGATAGGTACATTGTAATAGAATTTTAATACGCATACGTATCTCATTCTAAAATGAACTGGACGAGATGGGTAGCACAAGATACTGTGTGTAATCAATGAAAATATCATACAGGTGTAGTGGGTAAAGGTCATTAAAGATTAGGTGCGTGTATTGAGATAATCTGTGAATATTGAACAAATGAAAGAAAAGAGATGAAGGGTACAGTACGTGTATTCAGGTGAATTTGTGTAGGAGAGGAGGGAGGCTTGAAATATGGTGGATGGACACGGTGAGGAAGCAAGATTTGTGTGAGAACACGTGGGATATGAGGCAAGATTAGGTGAAGTGCTTGTTTGATGGAAATGTGTGTTCAGCATATTACAATTCACGAGGAAAGTGAAATCTGGTTCAATGCTGTTGTGGATAAATGCTGGAGTATGTTGGGAATTGTTTATAATTTAAGTAAAAATTTAATTACCATCATGCCTCTGTACATAATGCTTCCTTTATACTTAATGATGTACTGTATAGTGTGAGTGGTATGATGAATGAACGAGGGATTGATTTTAATATCTGCAACAATCTTTTGTAATATTGCTCCTCTTTTTTTTCATAATCCATGGGTTGCTTTTTTTTTTTTTCATAATCCATGGGCTGCCCCTCACTCCATGAAAGTTTGAAAAGAGGGTAATGATGTATAATTTTTAGCGTAGATTGTATCAGGTTACTGGAAATAAATATCTTGTCTCTTGATCACAACCCATTTCATTTAGAATCTCTTATTTGGAAATGTTTATATAATTATGCAATAGTATTTATCTTTGTTGTATACAGCATTTATATTATGCACATCCTGATTATCAGCATATTTTCATATCTTTTCAGCTGTCTCCCCATCTAGCACCAGCTTTGCTGAGAGTGTCTCTACGTTGCGATATGCCACACGTGCACGTTGCATTGTCAACACACCTGTTGTGAATCTTGATACAGGAACAGCTACCATTAGTAGCCTGAGAAGAGAAGTTGCTGCTCTCAGAAGATTATTATATGATGCCAAAGTAGGTAGTAGACAGACAGATTACTTCTAAGTATTGAACAGTAATACCAATTTATATACATATAGGCAGGTTTTTCAAACATAAACGAATACACGGTAATCTTAGTACAGTATAGAGCTTACCACGAAGTACCACGGTACTACGGAGCCTAAGCAATTATAGAGTGGCATTTTCCACCATACAAAAAAAAAAGCAGCTCTCTCCTGATTGGTCCCTCCACATGACCTGCACCCCTTGCAAATGAGTAGTCCATTACTCCTATCTGACTGCAAAAGTTTAACCTCACTTTGACGTGTCTTACCTCAGCTTACAGCAAAACTCAAGATGCCAGAGGATCTAACCAAATATCTAGCGATACTTCTCACCCCCTTTATACTCTGTCTACATCATGAAGAGATGTATATTTGGCTTCCTATTTTCAAACCCTGCACAATGAGTCCAAATATGACTGGTTTGAGTTGCATACACTAGTTACCTTCATACAGGCATCAGTAGACCAGCAGGAATAAGAAACCAGAACTGCAGTTAAGACAGGAAATTCTGTAGTTATTTGTAGACTATTAAACAGGTGTTCAACTTTAAAAACAGAGATGCTAGCTATTCAAAAGGCTTTGGAACATGCTCTTGCTGAACACCAATAACATGTTATCATAAATATAGATTCAAGTACTGCCATTGAAACCCTGCAACAAGAACACATGTGTGACAATATCCATCTGATCCCAAATGTCATAGCATTAATGCAAACGCTCGATCGTCAAGGCCGTCAGATACTTATCAACTGGATGTCAAGTCATATGGAAATAATAAGGAATGACATTGCAGACAAAGCTGTAAAAAACAAGAGAAGAAATATAGACAGTTACATACCACATAGTCTATCACAGATTAAGTACAGTAATTAGAAATGGAGCAATGCAGATGATGTACACACCACAGCAGCAGCAGCTGCAACATAAGGATCTGTGGGTTGGTACAAGAATTCAACCAACGACAGCCCACTTATTTTGATGAAAGGAAGCAGTAGAATAACAGAAGTGCACTTACACCACATTAGACTTGGATACCCATGTGCATGGGAAATAGGCTTACAAGTTCCAGATAATGAGAGGAAATGTCAGCACTGTGGAGATATTCCCATCAGACCACTGGAACATTATCTAATACAGTGCAGAGTTAAAAGCCAACCAAGATTCAACAGGGCAGAAGTTGTTAAACATATTGGGCATAATATTTACTGAAGTGAACATACGAGTCATAAATACTCCTACTCTGCCTAAGTAAAATAGAAACAAGTAACACTTAATGGGCCAACCAAAGGCTTAGGGCCCACACAGGAATATCCCTGCAAAAAAATTAAATGAAAAATGCATACTTGTAAGAACAGCTCATCTTGTTCCTGAAGCTGATGGGAGTGTTCTGGTACTTTTCTTTCAATGTTCCAGAGCTCTTCAAGACAGTTGAAACATCTTAACCTTTGTTAGACAGATTTCTGAACAAAAGTGTGCTCATGCTGGTAACACCAACATTGTTCATCATGCACAGGAACCAGAAGCATCACCTCATGAACTTCAGGGAGTCCTAAACTCATCAAAGAAAGACTTTAGGAGACAGTGTACTAAATCTCTAGCCATCAAACATTACAACACCTCTAAACAAAATGAAAGAAAAATCAACATTGCTTCCCTTCTTGCCAAATTAATACAATAAAAATACAAATTATGATAAAATCCCTCGAGTCTCGCTCCGTCACTTTAGTGACTTTGCTCCCACCTTTTACTCTACCTCTTGGCAAGTTTTCCTTAAGCACTTCATGTGTGTTTATATCTGTTAATTTGAATTAAGCTCTTGCTGGCAAAATGTCATGTAAAAATAAATTCTACTCTCATCTTGGTGTTTCTCCACATCATTTTCAGTACTTGTGTTCTTTACAATCATATTTAGAAATTAGTCACAAACCTAGCTAGCATCAGATGGATTATGGGCATATGCAAAATATTTGCTGCATACAGAATCTTTCTAATAATGGATATAAAAATATATGATGCACAAGTTTTACATTTTTGGTATTTCTTTTTTCAGCCGTCATTTATGAAGCCACTTGGAACAAGCAAAACTACTTTTTTGGACGCCATTTCTCATTCATCTGCCTCGGACCTTACTCGAGAATGGATAGAGCACTTACACAGAGAACAATCAAAAGACCACAAGAGAGTTAGGAGAAAAAGTGCTCCAGTTGGCCACAACTTGAGCACTGCAACTGGGTTAAATCGTTCAACTTCTTCACTTAGTAGTACTGAAGCTGTTCAAAGTTCATGTGGACCACGTGATATTATTGTTGAAACAGAGTTACCTTATTTGCTCAACACCCTTGATGATGCTCATTCTTCCAGCATCATCATATATCATATTCAGGTAAGATTTTCTGCATGTTTACCTATTTGTGTGTATTGGGAGCGAGATGTCACTCTAGTAGCCTAATATTCTAGCTATTGCACCTGATGGATTTATTTACCGCTGTTATAATAGTAGTAGTAATAATAATAAATGTTCATTCGAGTAAAAGTACGTACATACAAGATGGATTTCTAGATGTAGCTAGTACATACTATGCCTAAAGCCACTAATAGGCATAGCATTTCAGGCAAAGAAGTTCTTACCCGAGTACTAATTATTTGTGTTTACAGTTGTCAGTTCTGTTAACCCAGCTTTTCCTACATGCGGGTCAAGTTAAATTCTGTGATTTTTGTTACTCTCTACTGGTTCAGGTACTTAACTTTTCCAGTGTAGTAATGTGTTTTTGTGGGTGGTCTCCATGCGTGAGTACAGTAATTTAGGTAGGGATGCACATGTGATTTATACCCACTAGATTGCTACTTTATTTTAATTGTAGTTAAAGGTTAATTGTAGTTAAAAGTTAAAGGTTAACTGTCACAAAGTATTATGTGACAGAGTACTGGGGAGACGGGATACCAAGAGCGTAGCTCTCATTCTGTAACTACGCTTAGGTAATTACACTCATACACACACACACGCGTTTACAATGAAAAGCACATATTAATTATGGCAAGAATAAAATGCCAATTACTATTAACTTGAAAGCCTTTTTTTTTTTTTAACAGTTTGCTTAACTTTTATTTGTTTCCACAGCAATTATCATATGGTGCCTTTTTTTCCCTAGAATGGTGCCTCTGTTGTGGGCTGTGGAGACGATGTGGATGTTCATGTTGCTGGCTCTGGTGTGGCTCCATCGCACTGTAGTCTGACTCATGCTCATGGTGCTGTCACTCTCAGGTCTGTATAATGCAATAATTATCTTTGACTTTGTCTTGCATACTGTTATACTGATCATGTTGTATGTACAGTGTTTCTGGCAAGGACATTATTCTAAGTAATGTACAGTATAAAGGGGAACATTGTAAAAATATTTCTGTGCATGGAACTTCATGGCTTTCCTGAACCAAAGCCACTGTTTCAAAAGGGCCTACAATAGTAACAATAAGGCCTTTAATGACTGTTGTAGGCCTACCAACCGAACAGCAGAGCCAAGCAGAGTAGAATAGTGGCTAAATTGGTGACAGTAGAAATGGAACTATAATTACTGTATTTTACATTATTGGAAATGCAATTTAAAGTTAAACGATGTTTGAGCTTTAAAGCTACTCTTGAAGACTGTGTCAAATTTAAACAGTCATAGTCAGAGGATTAAAAAGTGGAACAAATCTATGACCTCTTCAGTGCAATTGAATAATACTTAGCATGTAATGAGAAAAATTTTGTACATTTTGTAGTAAGTTAAATGCTGTACTGTATATGGAATTTATTTTTATGCTCTTTAAGGATGTTTAAGGATGCTTACTAAAACATTTGCAGAATGCGTTAAGTCTAAATCAATTTTTATATATTTTTGTTCTGCAGATGCCTCACAGGCTGTGAGGTTGAGGTGAGCAGTGTGTGTGTTCCAGAGGGTGGAGCCAGACGTCTTCAAGATGGAGATACTATTACCATCGGTTCCCGCTCTTTTACTTTTCACACTCCAACGAGAATACGGCCACGTTCAAATTCTTGCCCTCGTCATAAGGTAAAGTATTAAATTACTGGTGCTCGTTAGTTGCATGATACGAGACAGTTTAAAGAAACAAATTTTACATGTACTGTACTGTTTAAGTTCACTTATCTGGATTATATGGGAAGGACCCCCCACCGGATGAGCAGAATTCTTACAAGGGAAATCCAAATATGCCCATACTCACACTTTTTTTGTACCACAAGCAACAAAATTTGAATTTACACACACACACACAGGCTCAGGAACCTGTACACCTGTTGATTGACAGTTGAGAGTCGGGACCAAAGAGCCAGAGCTCAACCCCCGCAAGCACAACTAGGTGAGTACACCATAAATCAAAAATATTATTTAAAACAGAAACATTAGCTTTAAATTGTTGTAGTTTGTCTTTTTGTTTTATACTGTAGATCTTGAAATGTGTTGTTCTTGAAAATTTACATAACATAATCTCTGGTTATCTGTTTGTATATGGCAAAGTTTGCCAGAAAATTAGCCGGATGCAATTTTGGCCGGAAAACTCAAATATTCGGATCAGCGAGCTTTGGATAACCGAGGTCATACAGTAGTGTGCAGTATTCAATACAATCTTGGCAACTAATCACAACATAACTAAGGAAATGGGGAAACATTTTTACCAACTGCAACCCATGCTTTATTGATTTGCATGGCTTCATAGAATAAGTAATGTAGTAGTAATAATAATAATAGTAATAATAATAATTTATTTACACGTGTATACATATGATACATGAACACAGGAAGATTCAAAGGCAAGGTAAGTACAATGCATAAAGCCACTAATACGCAGTACGCATTTCGGGCATGATTTACGGTAAAATAGTTAGGTTGTTTAAAGGTTTGATGAAGTAGACACCTAATACTACCAAGAAGCAGGCAAACAAAAATTGTGGCACTGTACTGTACAGCTGTACGACAGACAGCTGAGCGCGCAAGCTTGCAGTGTCGGTGGCCGAGTGTGCGTGCTTTTGCAGTGTCGGCGGCCGACTGTGTGCGCGCTTGCAGTGTTGTTGTTGTTATAGATTCAGCTACTCGGAACAAGTTCCAAGTAGCAAGGGCTATATTGAGCCTATAACTTACCTGGCACAGGAGCGGGGCAAGTAGCATGGGCTATGGTGAGCCTGTAACTTACCTGGCACAGGAGTGGGGCTAGTAGCACGGGCTATGGTGAGCCCGTAGTGGACTTACCTGGCACAGGAGTGGTGCTGAATGTGCTGTGATGCAGTGTTGGCGTCCGAGTGTGCGCGCTTGCAGTGTTGGCGTCCGAGTGTGCGCGCTTGCTGTGTTGGCGTCCGAGTGTGCGCGCTTGCAGTGTTGGCGTCAGAGTGTGCTCGCTTGCAGTGTCGGCGGCCGAGTGTGCGCGCGCTTGCAGTGTCGGCGGCCGAGTGTGCGCGCGCTTGCAGTGTCGGCGGCCGAGTGTGCGCGCGCTTGCAGTGTCGGCGGCCGAGTGTGCGCGCGCTTGCAGTGTCGGCGGCCGAGTGTGCGCGCGCTTGCAGTGTCGGCGGCCGAGTGTGCGCGCGCTTGCAGTGTCGGCGGCCGAGTGTGCGCGCGCTTGCGGTGTCGGCGGCCGAGTGTGCGCGCGCTTGCGGTGTCGGCGGCCGAGTGTGCGCGCGCTTGCGGTGTCGGCGGCCGAGTGTGCGCGCGCTTGCAGTGTCGGCGGCCGAGTGTGCGCGCGCTTGCAGTATCGGCGGCCGAGTGTGCTCGCGCTTGCGGTGTCGGCGGCCGAGTGTGCTCGCGCTTGCGGTGTCGGCGGCCGAGTGTGCTCGCGCTTGCTGTGTCGGCGGCCGAGTGTGCTCGCGCTTGCGGTGTCGGCGGCCGAGTGTGCTCGCGCTTGCGGTGTCGGCGGCCGAGTGTGCTCGCGCTTGCGGTGTCGGCGGCCGAGTGTGCTCGCGCTTGCGGTGTCGGCGGCCGAGTGTGCTCGCGCTTGCAGTGTCGGCGGCCGAGTGTGCGCTTGCTTGCAGTGTCGGCGGCCGAGTGTGCGCTTGCTTGCAGTGTCGGCGGCCGAGTGTGCTCGCGCTTGCAGTGTCGGCGGCCGAGTGTGCGCGCGCTTGCAGTGTCGGCTGCCGAGTGTGCGCGCGCTTGCAGTGTCGGCGGCCGAGTGTGCGTGACGATGATCATAGCTAAAATACTACCCCTGTCTTCAAACTATTTTCAACGGCTAACCGATCGTCTCCTTTCTGCCAGTTATGGTGGTGGTCCAATTTCCAACACCACTAGATATTAGAGTTCTTTTTGTAGTACTGTACAGTATATCCCAAGTCTGGTTCATAGGGATGAATCAAGATTTCAGCATTTAACACTGTTCATTTGAAAAAAATATTAAATACTATGTTTTTTCAGTTTATTTTTAACAGGTGAGTGACGTGTATAGTTTTCAAAGACTTGCTCCCTTACGGAAATAAAAACTGTGCGTGAATAAAAAACTAAAAGGTGTAAATTAAAAATTAAATAAAAAAAGTAATAATTTACTGTACTTTTTTCCCCGGGCACTCCACTGGCGCTCTTTTAAAACCTAAAATATAATTGTGGGGCGGTGAGTACTCCACTGGCACTTTATAAAAACATTACAAACATTTCTGGCCGGCGATTTAAGTGTTTACAAAAAAGTCCAAATTTGACAGTTTCATAGGAAATAGGTCATTCCCTGTAATGACGAGTATATTGCGAGGGTTGAGCTCTGGCTCTTTCGGCCGCCTCTCAACTGTCAATCAACTAACTGATAGCGATGGTGGACGGTTGTGTGCACTTGTAGCAGTGGTGGACGGTTGTGTGCACTTGTAGCAGTGGTGGACGGTTGTGTGCACTTGTAGCAGTGGTGGACGGTTGTGTGCACTTGTAGCAGTGGTGGACGGTTGTGTGCACTTGTAGCAGTGGTGGACGGTTGTGTGCACTTGTAGCAGTGGTGGACGGTTGTGTGCACTTGTAGCAGTGGTGGACGGTTGTGTGCACTTGTAGCAGTGGTGGACGGTTGTGTGCACTTGTAGCAGTGGTGGACGGTTGTGTGCACTTGTAGCAGTGGTGGACGGTTGTGTGCACTTGTAGCAGTGGTGGACGGTTGTGTGCACTTGTAGCAGTGGTGGACGGTTGTGTGCACTTGTAGCAGTGGTGGACGGTTGTGTGCACTTGTAGCGATGGTGGAGAATAGTATACTTGCAGTTTGGTGATGGGTTGCGGTGGTGATATAGTTGTATTCGTGTGGTAGGAAACCCGACAGGTGACTAACTTGTATGAGTAATCGTTGTGGTGGTTCCGTGGTCGTATGTTGGTTGTTTGAGATGGTCTTGGTTTAGTGGTTGTGATCTTTATAACTTAAGGGTTGTGCAGCAATGATATTTTATTGTTTATGGTGGTTATAACTTAGCGATTGTCATTGATTCTGATTGTATGAATACCTTACTTGAAATAATGTTGCGGCTGTGTCATTGGCTTGTTCCACTGCATGTTGTCAGTGGTCTAGATTGATGAAAATTTAGCCACCCCAGAAGTGGCATGGGCATGAATAGCCCGTCAAGTAGTGGTTTAGATTGATGAAGATTAAACCACCCCCAGAGGTGGCACTGGCATGAATATCCCGTAAGTGGAGACTGAAGCCATTACCAGTAGCTGATACTGTGGATGATAGTGGTTTAATCGATTGATTGAATAAGATTAAGCAACCCTAGAGGTGGCACGGGCATGAATAGCCCGTAAGATAGTGGTTTAGATGTCCATCAGCACTTATAGGATGAAAATTAGCTAGTGAGGTGAGTGTAGTTGCGTGGTAGGAATGCTTACCGAGCAACGGCAGCCAGGTGGAGCGTACTGAGGCGGTCACCATTCATAATCTTGTTAACTGGCGGGGGGGTGGGTGACGGGGCCCTGGGACGGGATGTAGCCAGGCATACATCATCCGCCACTCCTAGTCTATGCCAAGCCTAGTTCATGTTCACTCGCGCTCTTGTGCTCTTCCACTGTGCTATAGTACTCTTCCACTGTGCTATAGTGCTCTTCCACCGTGCTGTAGTGCTGTTCTACTGTGCCATAGTGCTGTTCCTCCATGGTGTAGTCCACTTCACGGTCAGTTCATGTTGCTTGTTTTATGCATAGTACACAATGTTGCCGTTATGTAAGTGGGGCTCTCTGGAGGGGGCGAGATTCATTGAGAATGAGAAGACACTTACCCTTTCAACGGCTTTTATTTGTATGCATAGAATCAATATTTATTTAAAAATTGTGCAGTCTGAAGCAATATTTAGTTTTTAATTGTAAATATTAGTAACATTTAAATAGAAAATCTCTAAAAATAGGTTTCAGACTTGTATGAGCTTAAATACTGCGTGCTTCCAGGAAAACAGTGAGATATAGTTGAAGTACAGTATACTATTCAAAAGATTTTAGCATTCATATTCTGGGTTCAATAGCTACAAATGTGTGATCACTCGTTTCCTCGGGTTCTAATATTCTCCATTTGTAAGTAATGTACGTCATGCCTAACATTTAAATGTACAGCCAATGTCTTATGAGGAAGTCTCGAAACTCGGCGCCCTTATCAGTGTTAAACCATATGGTCAAATAAGAGGAGGGGGAGGATTCAAACAGTATATATAAGTCACGGTAGATTAGCTAATCAAGAAAGGATTCATCGTTGATAGTTGATAAGTACGTCTGTGTGCTTTAGGTAGGTAACATTTACATAATTATAACATATCTTCAGTCTGAGAGACTTAAGACGAGCAATAGCTTCTGGGTTGGGTGCAAGTAGTAACGCTTCCATTATCTTCAACTTCCTGAACAATAAATATTAGTAAGTTATCGCAATTATTTCTTCGTGTCGGTTCAGCCTATAAATCAGTAGCCTAATGTAAGTAATTCCGGACTCTGCACAAGTAAGATTTTATTTTTCAGCAAGCATAAGACTGCTTGTAATGTAGTATAAAAATAGAGGCAGCGATACAATGCCAAAACAAAATAGTCTGCCCTTGCTGGGTCTTAACGCATTTTGCAGTTGCCCGTGTAACAAGTTGGTGTTAAAAATTATTACACAAACTGGAATTATTGTTCGTTATCTGAACCTTACATGCACTGTATTAAGAAAACGTAATCTAACTGAAAGCTATACAGAAAATAAAATAGACGAAATAGAATAATCTCACTGCACCGTATTTGATTGAATCACGTATAAATCCAATGGCGAGTCAGGGAGGGTGGCAAGGTGACTGGCGAGTCTGGGAGTTGATGGGATAAAGAGTTCAATTCTTTGGTTGCTCTATTGAGCATAGGAGCAATTTCTCGTTCCGTCCCTGTGTCAATGTGGCGTCCCAGCTGCGAGACCCAACACTCCTTGCTTATCCCAGCTGCGAGACCCGACACTTGTAGCTTGTTCCAGACGCCGGGACCCGCCAGTCCCAGCCACGGGGACGCGCCATTCACCCTAGGCTAACTGATCAGAGCTTTAGGGGTATAAGCCTATAGGGTGTAGCAAAAGGGGGGGTGAAAATAACTTTTGTCTTCATCTTTCTTCTAATATAAGCGGGGAAAAAGTGTGACACACACAATTTGTCACTGGGTTGTTGCATGTTACCATGTCATTGTGTGTGACAAGTGTTGAGATCTAACTCGTGTATTTGTGGTGTGTTGACAGGTTGGAGCGAGGAGTCCCTGCTTCCATGGAGAATGTGTGTTCCCGCGCCTGCATCACCCTACCTGCACCTCTAGGTCAGTACCACCACCATATTTGTTCCAGCTCTTGTGGGTTGCATCCTCTGGGGGGGGGGGAAGGGGTCATGAGTAAGTGTTTATCGTAAGAAGGCACCAGGCCAGGAAGGTCAGCAGTTGGCCAAAGTCACGCTACAGGCTTCTCCCCGACAACGTCAATTATAACACTCAAAATTTTGTTTTTCTGATGGGATAGTGTTATTTTCTACTTGCTTATGTCTCCAAAGAATAGAAAATGGCTGTTATTTTCCTAGCACATTGCTTTGACTTTTGGCTAAGACAGCTTAGGGAAGACATCTTGAAGGTACTGTACTTGAAGGCTGCCGACATATGAAACTGATAAAAAACAAAGCTAATGCCATGAAACAGGCCCCCCCTCCCCCCCCCTCCAACGTCAAAAAAGAAATAAAACTATGAAATTAAAGAGTATATTATGTGTAGTTAGAGAAACAGATTATGGGGAAAACAATGACAGGAATTTAGTAGCCTTAGGTAAAAGAAGTGAACCTAGGAGCAAAGTGTAAGGACTCAATCAGGGACGTTTTAAGATGGCGCCACGGATGGATAATAGTCAATTTCAGGGGGGTTGAGGGGGGGGGGGGGACAAGGCGAGGGGAAGAAAGAGAAGGGGAAGTGTTAATGTGGGGAATGCAGAGGTGGCAGTGGGAGAAATATTGTAGGGAAAAGTGGAAGACATGCAAAGGATGGACTCTTAGAAGGATACACAGCGGGATAGTGTTATGCAAGATAATTATTTATAAAGTATTTTATATATTTATATATATATATATATATATATGACAATGTCAGACCACGAAGGAAAAATGAAACAGGAAATTTCCTTAAGTACTTTCGTATATTAAATACATCTTCAGAAGGTATTTAGACCTTCTGAAGATGTATTTAATATACGAAAGTACTTAAGGAAATTTCCTGTTTCATTTTTCCTTCGTGGTCTGACATTGTCACATTCTTAATCACGTGTTTATTTTCGTGATATACACACACATATATATATATATATATTATATATATATATATATATATATATATATATAATGTATGTATATATGTATATGTATGTATATATGTATGTATATATATATAATAGTGTGTAAAATATTAGATATGTGGGTGGTACTGAGGAGAAATATGAGAGGTTGAAGGTGAAGCCCCTCAAGTCACCTATTCACTCACAGTGGCTTTGTCTTGCTAACTCCACCTTGTTCTTCCTCACCCCCCCCCCCTCTCCCTCTCTCTCCCCCTCCCTCCCTCCCCCCCCCATCTCGCGCCTCATCGCTCCCTCCCCCCCCATCTCGCGCCCTCCCGCCCCCCCCCTCTCGCTCCCTCCCCCCCCCCCCTCTCGCGCCCTCCCCCCCCGCCCTCCCCCCTCTCGCGCCCTCCCGCCCTCCCCCCTCTCGCGCCCTCCCCCCCTCCCGCCCTCCCCCCTCTCGCGCCCTCCCCCCCCCCCCCGCCCCCCCCCCCTCCCGCCCTCCCGCCCTCCCGCCCTCCCCCCTCTCGCGCCCTCCCGCCCTCCCCCCCTCTCGCGCCCTCCCGCCCTCCCCCCCTCTCGCGCCCTCCCTCCCCCCCTCCCCCCTCCCCCTCCCTCCCTCCCCCCTCTCGCCCCCCCCTCTCGTGCCCTCCCTCCCCCCTCCCTCCCTCCCTCCCCCCCCTCTCGTGCCCTCCCTCCCTCCCTCCCCCCCTCTCGTGCCCTCCCTCCCCCCTCCTTCCCTCCCCCCCTCTCGCGCCCTCCCTCCCCCCTCTCGCGCCCTCCCTCCCCTCTCCCCCTCCCTCCCTCTCGCGCCCTCCCTCCCCCCCCTCTCGCGCCCTCCCTCCCCCCCTCTCGCGCCCTCCCTACCTCCCCTCGCGCCCTCTCTCCCTCCCCCCCCCCCCCATCTCGCGCGCCCCCCTCCCCCCCCTCCCCCCCCCCCATCTCGCGCGCCCTCCTTCCCCCTCCCCCCCCCATCTCGCGCGCCCTCCTTCCCCCTCCCCCCTTCCCCCATCTCGCGCGCCCTCCTTCCCCCCTCCCGCCCTCCCTCCCCCATCTCGCGCGCCCTCCCTTCCCCCCTCTCCCGCTCGCCCCCTCCCTCCCCCATCTCGCGCGCCCTCCCTCCCCCCTCCCCCCCATCTCCCCCCCCTCCCCCCCCTTCCCCCCTCACTCCCCCCCTTCCCCCCTCACTCCCCCCCTTCCCCCTCACTCCTCCCCTTCCCCCTCACTCCTCCCCCTCACTCACTCCTCCCCCTCACTCCTCACTCCCCCCCCTTCCCCCTCTCTCGCGCTCTCCCCCCCCCCTCTCGCGCCCGCCCTCTTGCGCCCTCCACCCTTCCTCCTCACTCCCTGATAATTATAAATCTCCATTTTATCAAATGTTTAAATGTTTCTTCAATTGTCCTTGAATCTTCCTTCTGCGCCCTTTGGCAACAACTGTGTAAGGGGGTAGCTTATGGCGGGGGTTGGGGGGGGGATGTGGCACGGAGGGTGATAGGTGAAGGGGGGGAGGGGGAACTGGGAGTATTGGTGAGGGGTGGTGGTGGTATGAGTAATGCTTCATGTTGAACAAGTATTCCAACTCCTGACCTGAAGAAGCCTTTGGTGTGATGACAGGAGCTGGCAGTGTCCATACCGATTAGAGATGGTAGAAGAGCACTGACACTCAAAGGCCCAGAAAGCATGAGTATAAAAAGTTATATGTTTAGAACCGAGAACTATATGTCCATCCAGCACCAAACATCAACTAGACAGTGTGACATTGTAATTGCCAGAATTAGGCTAGGCTATCAATATCTATACCAGGTGGCTGTGGGTAATTAATTCCTAATGGTGAACATTCTATTTGTTCACTTTGTGAATGAGTGCTGGGACATACCATACTCTCTTATAGCGTTCTTGATCTTGTGCTAACATCAGAGGCGGGCACGCTTGATCAATATGATCATAATATCCTAGGATGACTACAATTATGGAAACCCCTGTAACAGTCCTGGATGATAACTTTCAAGTGTACCCTCAAGGAGACTTAATAAGGAATGAGAGAGGATTTACAAAACACCACTTGGAGGGAGTTAATAGAAGATCAAAGCATGGAATTATCAGGGAAAAGCTTTAAAAAGGTCATCACTGAACTTGTTCAAAAATGTGTGCCAAGAAAGTGAAAGAGAGAGGGAAAGAAAGATAGATGATATGGGTAGTAAAAAGAACTCTTAATAACTAAGCAAAACCTCTGGAGTAGGTATCAATGCACAAAAAACATCAGATTATGAGATATACAGAAGGGCATCAAATTCAGCCACCCAGATATTCAGATCAGCCAAAAGAAAGTCTTAAAGAAAACCTGCTTAAAACATAAAAGAAGATCCAAAGTCCTTTATGCCTATATAAGAAGTAAAACTAAAACACGACTCAGTAAGACCCCTAAAATATGACACAAACCAAGTTATAGATGATAAAAGAGCAGCCAATACTCTGAATACTTTACATCAGTATTAAGACAAGAGAGTTTAGACATCATCAAAATATCAACACAAATGTTTGAAGAAAGGGAAGAGAGTGAATTAAGGGGGAAATAACATAACGTGTGATATACAGTTTTCAATAATAATACAAAGTTATCTACACAAAATCCACAAATGGCAAGAATGGGAAATGCTGCTTAATATTTAAATTTAAAATGCAACACCTTGCTTGTGGGGCATAAGACTGCACATCATAACTACCAAATCATCATCATCATGCAGCAGATTGATGAGGTAAAGAACCTTCCAAGAGGTTCTAAAAGTTCTAAAAGACTCTGACTAAAGAATCAGAGTCCACCAGTCATTGAAATTGGCACAATAAGCTGGAACTGCTGTGAATCAAGGCAAACAGTCCCTAGGAATAGTCGCATGAACCTTTGACTTAAAGAAAAACATGGTTATTGAGCTCTAGAAATCTCTGGTATGCCCCCTTCTGGACAGTATCCATGCATCATCATCAGGAGGACATGTATGCCTTGCAGAAAGCTCAACACTAGGCGACAAAAACCATCCCATTACTAATTTGACTCTCATTCCAGGAAACGTTATGGGCCACAGGATGTGACCCACACTAGAAACCAGATGTGATGGGGCTGATCTCGCTGAAACTTTTAAGATAGTGAACAATTTTGGAGAATGTTGATCCAGACTATTTTATTTGTTTATTTAAATCAAGAAGGTATATTGGGTTGAGAGAATACATAACATTGGTGATACCTAATTACCTGGTTCTTATGTGCCTGGTTCTCATTCCACCTTAGGAATGTAAGGTGCTCTTACATTCTTGCAAACCCACCAACAGGCATAGTATTTCGGCCAGGTCCTTGGTATAACAGAGATAAGTAAGAGTACAGTAATTAAAAAGTACATTCTAGCAGAATTTGAATTTGAAATATAATCAGTATTGATTATACTGGTAAAATTTATAGTGTCTGTACTGGCATAAATTACTGGTGAAAATTTATAATATAGACTACTACAGTACTACTACTATAAAGGTCAAATGAAATACAAAATTAAAATAAAATAAAATGTTTATTTAGGTAAGGTACATACATACAAGAAATTTTTACAAAGATTGGTTGACTTATAGGTAGAGCTAGTACATACAATGCCTAAAGCCACTATTACGCAAAGCGTTTCGGGCATTACAAGGTGTAATGGCTTGCTCAACAAGCCACAATGTAGGATGGAAAACAGGAGATACGTCTTCACTTGTAAATCAGTGGAACTACCTACCTGCCAAAACTGTAAATGCTAAGGTAATACTGGAATTAAAAATCCAGCTGAAAACAAAGCATCAGGACCTTCGACAAGCCACTGGCTTCTTGTCTCCATCGAGGCCACTAGAAAAATGGTGGCCCTTATATAAATATAGGTAAACTTATGGAATTGTCTACCTATTGAAGGTGTAAATGTCAAGACATTGCTGCAGTTCAAAATCCAGCTGGATAAAATCAGGGAAAAATGTGAGGGGGGGGGGCATCATTAACAAGCTACTGTATTAGTTTTCTGTCTGTCAAGGCCACTTGAGAGATTGTAGTCCTTAGGTAAATTCTGGTGTGTCTAAAGGGTGCTGGATCATGGGTGCATCACACTGGATTATGCACACTGGACGACACTCGCACCATCAGAATATGACTGCACATGACCCACTTCACCTATAAAATTATCGTCTTGTCATGTGGTTAACATGATGATAAAGTGCTCCAACAACCTGTGAAGCTGTCTGGCCTAGTTTCCTTAGCCACACTCCTTTGGCGTGATTTTCCATGGTGATTTCCAGCAACTATTATTAGTCTAATACAGTGACTGCAAAAATACCCTGTACTGTATTTGTGAATATATCTCCAATGATCTTGTTACTATGTCATGTAGATTGTTAATAACTGAATAACCCAATTCAGAATATTGCAGTTCAATATTTTATCTTACATTAAGTACAGTATATGCATATAAACAATTTATTAAGAAGCTTTACCTCACAAGTGTTTAGAAATTGACAATGCTGTATTGAAATATTGCATGTAATCTAGAGATTTTTCCTTCAATTGGTTTTTCTTTGCAGGAAGCAAAGCTCTACAAGTGAAGCAGGTGTACAAGTGGGAGATGTTGACAGAATTATGGGCCAAGGCCAAACACATTTGAAAGAAACAGACTTGAAAGGCCTGGATGTAAACGACTCGTTATACAGCAGCTGTCGATCAGAGAGCGAGTGTGAAGAGGTGGAAGATAAAGATACATTTATGAATAAAAGAGTTAGTAGAAGGGATAACTTGCATCTACTGATACATTCACAGTCTGTCGAGGATAGTGTTAAAATGACGCCAAAAGGCTCCCATTTTGGAGAAGTACAAGATACACAGCACAGATTGCCTTCTCCAGCAGAACACTCCATCCCTCTAGGCATAACCTCAAATGAGAATAGTGTCTATGTGCCGGATACTGACCTTACTGATAAAGATGATCAGGAAAGTACAAACCACTGCTTGTTTCATGATGCTTACATTTTTGGTTCTAATACTTCTCTTGATTCTAGTATTAGTCAGCCATCTTGTGCTAGTCTTGATTCGCGCTTAGCGCACGTTTCTGGTAATAGTAATACATACCACAGCAAAGTTTTACCACACACTTTCTTTTTGAATCTGGATAAAGATAGGCATGATGTCAACTCTACAAGAAGCACACCACTGATGTCACCACAATCTCCTTCTGAAACTCGCCGACGATGGGATAAAAGTGTGTGGCCAGAAGTAGAGCAAGGCTTACGCAGGAATCAGAGTGTTCCAGATATTGATCGTCTGCAACGTGGAGATCACTGCCAGCAAACGAAATGGAATTTTCCCACGTCTCAGCAGCAGCACACTTTCGGCGATCGAGAGACACGACAGAAGATTATTGATGCCGTCACTCGCCGCTTGTATCCGGGTAGTGGTCCAGGATTTCGTCGACGCTCCAGGAAGGTAGGTGTTAAGCGTCATTCAGCAGGAGAACGTGAATGTCAGTGTCGCAAGAAAGCCATATGTGATACAGAAACTAAGTATATTAAGAATACTGGAAAAAGCACGGTATCTGCTCCAGCAACTCCCAGACACCCTAGTAAAATACAAGCATCTATAGGTGGGATAACATCATTACCTCAGCGTTCTCCTGACAGCACTGTCATATGGCGTCGTTCTTCATTAGGGACTTTCCCAGGAAGCCTTTTACCTCTTCCTGTGCGTGTAGACCAGTTGCATACTGACAGGTCTGTGCCCAGTTCCAAAAAAGAAAGTGCAACATCTGTTCTCACTCGGACTGCTAAGCATACCACCAGGCGTGAGGTAAAAACTACCACAACTACTTTGACTAAAACTTTAAGTAAAACTGAAACAAAAATTATAAATGTTGTGCCTCAAACTGATAAGACAGAAATGTGTAATCAGGAAGTTGGTTGTGATACAAGTGATCTTAAAGGTTGGGTTACAAGTGCTACTGGTGAAAATGTGGGTGTACAAGTAGGTAAGTCTTTGTTATCAAATGATATTGTTAGTCAAAATGTAATTTCTATGGATCCTGGATTTCGTGAACAGTCTGTAGATTCAGAAGTCAAGGAATCGAGTGATGCGAAGGATACTGCCAGTGGTGAGCAGGAGAAAGAGAGGCGGCGGATTCCTCTTACTCCTTCTTTACTCCAACTCAGACGTGCCTTAGCATCACTCAATGACTCTGAAATATTTTCAGATGATAGCTTAGAACATTCCAATTTGGAAGCAGATGCTCAGTCACCATTAATGTCAAGAGAGAGTCCTATGCTTCCTGATGATGATGATGAAATTTCTTTAGGAGATATTAGCAAAGATTCATTAGAAGACAGCCTGAACAATTTTGATTCACAAAATGTAATAATTCCTTCAGAACCTGAAATTTTGCCATCATCATCTAAAGTACATGATTGCAAAATTGCTAGTGATTTTACGAGTTTGACTAAAGAGTACAGAACTCGAGCTCCCTTAGGTCACCATGATACTTTTATTAATTCTTTCTTTAAATCGATTAGTGACTCCAGTGAAAATCGTGCTATTGAGATTGAGGAATCTCGATTATTAACTGATGAAAACAGCAATGTGGCAAGCTCTGTGAATGTTGCATCGTTACATCAAAGTTTTCAAACCACATCTTGTGTGTCTAATGGTAAACATAAGGTGGATGTGCCAGATGCTACTATTACATCTTTGTTTGATTCTGCCTCACCAAAAACAATGCGAAGATGGGCTCGTGAGAGGGCAGAAAAGCGTTTAATAGATTATACTAGCTCAGAGGACAGCGACATCGACTCGCAAAGACGACCAAGGTTCAGAAAACGGCGTCCTAGAAGATCATCCCTTCCTCTTGCCTCTTCACTAAACCAAGCTGTGTTTGAGCATACAGGAAACTCTGACTCTACTGTTTATATGTCGGTCCAACCCTTAATTCCAGAGAAAATCGATGATGAATTAATTGTAAAAAAACGCATGAATGATGAGACAGCAACAAAGGTGTATGCAATACATAATACAGATGTGCATAGTATGAGAACAAGGCATTATGAAGACTCGTTAAAGTCTCAGAGCAGTGATGATATAAATATTAAAGTGGTTTCAGGTAACAAAATACTTGAATCACAAATCAGGAATGTGTGTGATACTACTACTACTACTACTACAGAATACTTTAAAATTCATGACAAAATACAAAATACAAAATTGGAACTACAGAAAGAAACTGCAGCTAGTCTTTATTCACAAGAACTTCTTAAAGAATCTGCCAGGAGGTTGTTGCAGACAGTGAGCAAAGATGGCCCACTTTCAGAAGCTTCACAAGATGCTGTTGTAAGTTTACTAAAAGCATCGTCTCACAGACTTGCAAGTTATGCTTTAGGCATATCCGATGATGTCATAGACACGGTAGAAGCTCCCTGTCCCCAGACTAAGAGTGCAGCTATTCAAGAAGGATATGGCACTGCTCAAGGAAAAGAACATTGCAATGAGTCTTTTATGTCTCTCACGAAGGAAGAGTTTAAAGGATCATGTGCTGATTCCGACGCTGAAATAACATCGAAACATACCTTGCTTAAACAAATTCAGGTGCATCAGATTCCATTAAAAAATAGATTATCTTTTGAAGAACACACAGGTGTAATGGAATTAGTTATCAGTGGGGGTGAAATGTCTCCCAGTGAATTACCTGCAGAAATGGTGGATGATAGCACTTCGGCCATAACTCCCATAGTGTCCTCAGTCAGTGAGGCTGGTTCCATTGAAAGTTCCTTGGAGGATTTTGAAGCTGAGGATCATGATGAAAAAGGAGAATTAAATGTATCTAAGGAACACTTACAAGTAATAGCAGCCGAATTTACGCCAAGGACTGCTCGGCGGTTGTTGTACACTATTATGGAATGCAGTGAAAGTAGCCGTTCTGAGGGCGTACCATCTGAACCGGATATTATTCCTTCAGATTGGCAAGACACGTACAGTGATACAAACCAAGAACTTGACTCGAGGAGTATCAGCTGCGAAGTTAGTGAAGATGCATCAAGTTCGTCAGACGATAGTATGCTAGATACTGTTCGACCTAGTCAAGATGATCTTCAGGATTACCTTTCATGCGTTTCTGATGATATCTCGGGTGATATTAAGCCCAACTTGGCGGAAGATTCTGCAGTTGATGTTCAGCTGCTGGCACAGGACTTGACTGGTTCATTTGAATTTATAAGCAGTTTACCATTGTCTCCAGAAGGTCTAAATAAAGAGGAAGATGAATGGGATATGGCTACTGAGGTGATATCTCCAGGTAATGTAAGCCCACAGCCGGTAAATACTATAAGCCGTAGCGATGCTATAAACACTGGTGCCGTAATGGATAGCCAAGTTTTAAAAAGTAAGCATCCATGCTATTTACTTAAACGAGATAGCCTTCCTGAATGTGTACCATCTTTGGATCTGTCCCACCTTGAAAATTCCCCGACTTCAAGTAATGAGTCTAGAACAGCACGTTTATTAAAAGGGACACCATCACTTTCACCACAAAACTCCAGTGTGGTAGAAGACATTACACACTTCTGTACTAGTCAGTTTTACCAAGTGTTAAATGAGGACTTGTTTGATCATGAAGAGCCACAAATGGTAGAGGAAGATGCTAGTAAATTACTTCTAGCACTAGCAACCAATGAAATTGAGATGGAATTGGATTTACAACAGACATCTGTGGTGGATGAGGGTGAAATCAGAAAAGTGACAATTGGTCATATTATAGAACCAAATAAAGATAATTTTCCCAATTCAGTAAAGGAAAATGATGCAAACAAAGAGTTAGTTATCCTGCCATCAGAAATTACAATATCTACAAGTTCTTTTGTAGATAGCTCAGTGGCAGGACTGACGTCTGATATTTCAAATGAAGCAGATATGACAATGCAAACACTCCAGAATTACATGACAAAATCTAAATCTACTGAAAGAGAATATCTACAAGTTGAAAGCTTAATGGAGGGAAGTAAAAATAATTCCCACTTTGTGCTTTGCAAACCAACGCAAGAATCTACAACACAAGCCAGTAGTGCACAAGCTTCTCACACACCTCTAGTGGAATCTATAGCATTGACAACTATGTTACAAGATGATACGGAAAAATTCAATTCACGTTCAACTGCTTCTCATTTAACATTAACAAATGTCATTACTGAAGCTAATGCAAGTCCAGCAAGAATGACTTCTTCAAAGCCAATGTATTCAACAGAAGAAATCAATGTTAGGCAGAGAGAGATTCCTTCAGCATCACAACACTTGGTAGATGAAATAAACGTTTGTCATTCACTCGGTCCTTTTTCACTGGAGGCATCTGTGACAGAAGATAATAGTAATCATGCAGACATGTTTTTAATACAAGAGAAACTCAATGAGAAAGCAAACTCTTTACAAACTGTGACTTCTCTTACACCTCAAAATTTAATAAAAGTCAATGTCACTCAAGAATGTTCTCTACAAACACACACAAGTATGGAAGAACTCAACAGGGCTCAAGAAATAGCTCCTTTAACAACACAGAATGATACGGTAAATGTCAACAGTTCAAGAACAATGACTCCTCTATGGGCACAGACCTCTGGGCAGGAAATTGGTAATGGTCAAACAATGCCTAATGAAACACAGCACAACTCGCTGATCAATGTTATTACTTCTCCGTCAATAATTTCTGTAGAACCACAAGAATCTGTAGTACAGTTTAGTAATTACAATTCTTTAATGTCTTCATTATTACAAGATTCTGCTGTGAGTGTCAAAATGGACACAATTTTTCCTCAGGCAGAGGCTTATTCCATGTCAGAGAGCACCACACAATTCACCAAACTGATTCCTGTTGAACAACAAACTAACAAGATGGGAATCAGCAGCAATAAAGTAGTAATTTCTCAATCATTGCAGCAGTCTGCAACTGAAAACATTACATTTGAAGAAACCCCTGAAATTCCAACTGTTGAAGGGATCCAACCATCATCTCGACTGCAAACCCAAATTACAAAGGAGGAAGTTACCAGCACTCAAATAGTGACTCCTCTCTTATCTCAGAACTTAAAGAAAGAAGCAGTAAGTATGTATTCATTGACTTCAACACAACAGACAGAACAATTGGACGCTAATACTCTCCAGACACAAATTTGTGTCACACCAGAAAACATTGTGGCTGGAGCCAGTACTGTCCAACCAGAAAGTTTGATAATACCGCACAACAATGAGGAAAAATTAAATATTGCCGAGTCGGTGGGTGGTGTGACACCATTGAATATAACAAGGAAAGACGATATACCTTTAGCAGTGACTCCACTTCCACTGCATAATGTTATGAAAATCTCATCTTCTCATGCAGACTCCCCACGCGCACCACAAAACACTATTCTGGAAGCCAACACTCAATCACTGTTTCCTCAAACTCAAAGACATCATCAGGAACTCGGCTTAGTTCAGAAAGTGTCTGATATTACTCCTAAGTGCTTCATGGAGGGAGTTAGTGATGAAATTTCAACTCAGTGGAATTTGAAGGAAGGTGGCAGAATGGTAAAAGTTGGTAAAACTGAGTCATTGGCTCCTGCAACACAACAGAGCTCCAACCCTATAGTTGATAAAAATTTAGCAGTAACAGCTCCGACAACCACAAACTCCTTGGTAGACAATAACCTTTCTCAAGAAGTGAATCTTCTATCTACAACAAACACTATGGTAGAAGGAAAAGCTTATCAAACAGTGGCCCCTCAAAAACAACAGAACTCCCTAGCAGAAGCCAAAAGTTTTCAAGTGGCAATTCTAACACCACAGAATAGCTTGGCAGAAGGCAATTTGTCTCTAGCAACAAATTTAATAGAGGTCAGTGCCTCTGAAGCAGTTCCAGCAGTAGCACCACAAAACTTAACTGTAGAATCTAACATTCCTCAATCTGTGACACCAATTCCATCACAAGTTACCCAAGTGGAACTTGAAACATGTCAAGTAATGGCACCTCTGATACCAAGGAGTTCTATTGTGGAAATGGATGAACTTGTGTTTGACAGAGTGACTTCACTAATGCCACAAGATGCCAAGATGGAAGTTAACATTTGCAAAGTAGTGGCTCCTTTAATCCCAGTGGACACCATAACGGAAGATGATAATTCTCAAGCAATAACTCCATTAACCATGACTGCATTAAAAACACAGATTACAATGATGGAAGACTGCAAATCACAGGTAGTAACTCCTCTACCACAATGCACAATGGGGGAAGTCAGCACTAGTAAAGCAGACTCCCCTCTAACACCACAGATTACTATGATGGAAGACCACACTTCACAAGAAGTGGCTTCTGTAACACCACAGGCTACCATGATTAAATTTGGCAAATTCCAAGCAATAACTCCATTAATACCACAAATTACTGTAATAGAAGACTACAATTCAAAAGTAGTAACTCCTGAACCATCACAGGTTACCGTGCTTAAAGATGGGACACCCCAAGCAGCTATTCCATTAGCGCCACGTATTACTATGATGGAAGATAATTCTACACAAGAAGCGTCTGCTCTACTGCCACAGTTCACCTTGGTGGAAGATGGCACTAATCAAGCGGTGACTCCATTAACACCCCAGATGCCTATGACGGAAGACCACACTTCTAGTGAAGTGACTTCTCAAACATCACAGGCTACTGAGCTTAAAGTTGGCATATCCCAGTCAGTGACTCCACTAGCACCACAGATTACTATGATGGAAGACCACGATTCACAAGAAGTGCCTTCTCAACCACCACACTACACCACGGTGGAAGTCAGCACTTCCCTAACAGGGACTCCAACACAGATTACTGTTATGGAAGAAAACTCTTTACAAGACATGACTCGTACATCAGAACAGTATACCATGAAGGAAGATAACTGCTCCCAAGTAATAATTCCTGTAACACCACAAATTACTAAGATGGAAAACAAAAAATTAAGAGAGTTGGCTCCATCAACACCACATTACTCCACGGAGGAAGCCAACACCTCTGGGGCAGTGACACCTCTAACACAGATAACTAAGATTGAAAGTCTCTCACCTGTGGCAGTAACTCCTACCACACTACAGAACACCATAGTGGAAATCTGTACATCAAAAGCAATGACTTCATTAACACCACATAATGCTATGGTGGAAGACTGCACTACACAAGAAGTGACGCCATTAACACCACACATTGCTTTCATGGAAGACCACACTACACAACAAGTAACTCCATTAACATCACATATTGCTATCATGGAAGACTGCACTACACAAGTGCAGTCTTCCAGAGAAGTAACTCCATTAACACCACATATTGCTATGGTGGAAGACTGCACTACACAAGAAGTTACTCCATTAACACCACAGATTACTCTGATGGAAGACCACACTACACACACAGTGTCTTCTCTACTGCCGCAGTACAGCAAGGTGGAAGTTAGCACTACTCAAGCAGAGACTCCTCTTACCCCACAGATTACTGTGATGGAAGAGTATAATTCACAAGTAGTAACTCTTCAACCACCACAATGCACAATGGTTGAAGTCAGCTCTACTCAAGAAGTGACTCAATTAACACCACAGATCACTACTATAGAAGTCCCTACTTTAGAAGAAGTGACCCCTCTTATATCACAGGATACTATGCATAAAGTTGGCACATTCCAAGCTGAGACTCCAATAACACCACAGATTATTCTATTGGAAGAACATTCTTTACAAGAAGAAAGTATTCAACCACCTCAGTACACCTCGGACAAAGTCAGCACTAGCCAAGCAGTCACTTTATTAACGCCACAGATTACTCTGATGGAAGACCACACTTCACAAGAAGAAACTCCTTTAACATCAGAAGATACCATAGATAAAGATAGCACATCCCAAGCAGTGACTCCATTAATACCACAGATTATTCTGATGGATGACCACTCTTTACAAGAAGTGTCTCCTCTTCTGCCACAGTACAAGATGAATGTCGGCACTACTCAAGCAGAGATGGCGATGATGGAAGAAGACAATATACAAGTAGTGACTCCTCTACCACCACAGTATTCAGTGGTTCAAGTCAAAAGTACTCGAGCAGTGACTCCATTAACACCGCAGACTGCTGTATTGGAAGACCACACTTCTCTAGAAGAAACTTGTCTAACACCACAGGATACCATGGTTAAAGATAGCACAGCCCAAGTAGTCACTCCATTAACACCACAGATTGCTATGATGGAAGATAACTCATTACAAGAAGTGTCTCCTTTATTGCCACAGTACACGAAGGTGGAAATCAGTACTATTCAGGCAGAGACTACTCTTAAACCACAGATTACTATGATAAAAGAATACAATTCACAAGTAGTAACTCATCTACCACCACAATGCACAATGGATGTAGTCAGCACTACTACTACACAAGCAGAGTCGGCACTACACAAGCAACTTTTAACACCACAGGTTACTATTACAGAAGACCGTATTTCGCAAAAAGTGACTCCTCTACTGCCACAGATTATAGAAGTCTCCACTTCACAAGAAGTGACTCATCTAACAGCACTGGATACTACGCATAAAATTAGCACATCCAAAGCAGCAACTCCTTTAACACAACAGATTACTCGAATGGAAGACCACACTTCACAAGAAGTAACTACTCTAACATCACAGGAAATCATGGTTAAAGACAGCACATCCCAAGCAGTCACTCCATTAACAACTCAGATTTCTCAAATGGAAGACCTTTCTTTACAAGAAGCCACTCCAATACTGAAACGGTACACAAATATGGAAGTCAGCACTACTCACACGGTGACACCATTAACACTACAGATTGCTATGATGGAAGACAAATCATTACAAGAAGTGTCCCCTCTACTGCACCAGTACACGGAGGTGGATGTCAGCACTACTCGGGCAGAGGCTACTTTCTCCCCACAGATTACTATGATGGAAGATGACTCATTACAAGAAGTGTCTCCTCTTCTGCAACAGTACACCAAAGTCAAAGTCATTGCTACTCAGGCAGAGACTCCTCTTTCTCCACAGATGAAAGAGTACAATTCACAAATAGTAACACACTTACCACCACAATCCACAATGGTTGAAGTTGGCACTACTCAAGCAGACACACTTCAAACACCACAGGTTACTATTATAGAAGACCATACTTTGCAAGAAGTGGCTCCTCTAATATCACAGGATAATGTGCATAAAGTTAGCACATCAAAAGCAGCAACTCCATTAACACAACAGACATCTCGAATGGAAGACCACATTTTAAAAGAAGTAACGCCTCTACTATCACAGGATACCATGGTTAAAGATAGCACATTCCAATCAGTGACTTCATTAACACCACAGATTGCTGTGATGGAAGACCACACTTCACAAGAAGCAACTCCTCTTACATCACAGGATATCATGGTTAAAGATAGCACATCCCAAGCAGTGACGCCATTAACACCACAAATTTCTATGATAGAAGGCCATTCTTTACAAGAAGCAACTCCTCTACTGCAACAGTACACAAAGGTGGAGGTCAGCACTACTCAAGCAGTGACATTATTAGCACCACATATTACGATGATGGAAGACCTCTCTTTACAAGAAGTATCTCCTCTAGCATCGCAGGAGACCATGGTTAAAGATAGCACATCCCAAGTAATCACTCCATTAATACCACAAATTGCTATGATGGAAGAACATACTTCACAAGAAGTAACTCCTCTAACATCACGGGTTGCTGTGCATAAAGTTCTCGCATCCAGAGCAGGGACTCCATTAACACCTCGGAGTACTGAAATGGAAGAGAGTTCTTTACGAAAAGTGTCTTCTCTACCCCCACAGTACCCCTTGGTGAAAATGAACAATACTCAAGAAGTCGCTCTATTAATACCACAGATTGCTGTGTTGGAAGACCTTACCTCACAAGAAGTAACTCCTCTAGCATCACAGGAGACCATGGTTAAAGATAGCACATCCCAAGCAGTGACTCCATTAACACCACAGATTGTTATGATAGAAGGCCATTCTTTACAAGAAGCAACTCCTCTACTGCAACAGTACATGAAGGTGGAAGTCAGTACTACTCAAGCAGTGACATCACCATTGACACCACACATTACTATGATGGACGACCTCTCTTTACAAGAAGTAACTCCTCTAGCATCGCAGGAGACCATGGTTAAAGATAGCACATCCAAAGCAGTGACTCAATTATCATCACAGACTGCTGTAATGGAAGACAACACTTCACTACAAGTGACTTCTCTAACCTCACAGAATACCATGAATAAAGTTGGCACATTTCAAGCAGCGACTTCATTAACGCCACAGGTTACTAAGATGGAAGACCATTCTTTACAAGAAATGCATGCTCTACCGCCACAGTACACCTTGGAGGAAGTTCGAACTATTCAAACTAAACCTTCTCTAACAACACAGGCTAATGTGCTTAATGGAACATCCCAAGCAGTGTCTCCATTAACACCACAGATTGCTGTGATGGAAGACCACACTTCACAAGAAGTAACTCATCTTACGTCACAGGATATCATGGTTAAAGAAAGCACACCCCAAGCAGTGTCTCCATTAACACCACAGATTGCTATGATGGAAAACTACTCTTTACAAGAAATGTCTCCTCTACCGCAACAGTACACCAAGGTCGAAGTCATTGCTACTCAAGCAGAGATTCCTCTTGCTCCACAGATGAAAGAGTACAATTCACAAATAGTAACAATCTCACCACCACAATCCACAATGGTTGAAGTTGGCACTACTCAAGCAGACACACTTCAAACACCACAGGTTACTATTATAGAAGACCATACTTTGCAAGAAGTGGCTCCTCTAATATCACAGGATAATGTGCATAAAGTTAGCACATCAAAAGCAGCAACTCCATTAACACAACAGATATCCCGAATGGAAGACCACATTTTAAAAGAAGTAACACCTCTACTATCACAGGATATCATGGTTAAAGATAGCACATTCCAGTCAGTGACTTCATTAACACCACAGATTGCTATGTTGGAAGACCACTCATTACAAGAAGCAACTCCTCTAACACGACACGATACTATGGATAAAGTTGGCACATCGCAACCAATGATTTCATTAACACCACAGATTGCTGTGATGGAAGACCACACTTCACAAGAAGTAACTCCTCTTGCATCACAGGATATCATGGTTAAAGATAGCACATCCCAAGCAGTGACTCCATTAACACCACAGATTGTTATGATAGAAGGCCATTCTTTACAAGAAGGAACTCCTCTACTGCAACAGTACACGAAGGTGGAAGTCAGTACTACTCAAGCAGTGACTCAATTAACACCACAAATTGATATGATGGAAGAACATACTTCACAAGAAGTAACTCCTCTTACATCACAGGATTCCATGGTTAAAGATAGCACATCCAAAGCAGTGACTCAATTATCATCACAGACTGCTGTAATGGAAGACAACACTTCACTACAAGTGACGTCTCTAACCTCACAGAATACCATGAATGAAGTTGGCACATCGCAATCAGTGACACCATTAACACCACAGATTGCTGTGATGGAAGACCACACTTCACAAGAAGTAATTCCTCTAGCATCACAGGAGACCATGTTTAAAGATAGCACATCCCAAATAATCACCCCATTAACACCACAAATTGCTATGATGGAAGAACTCACTTCACAAGAAGTAACTCCTCTAACATCACGGATTGCTATGCATAAAGTTCCCACATCCAATGCAGGGACCCCACTAATACCACAGAGTACTGTCATGGAAGACTATTCTTTACTAGAAGTGTCTCCTCTACTGCCACAGTACACCTTGGTGAAAGTCAACACGACTCAAAAAGTCGCTCCATTAACACCACAGATTGCTGTAGCGGAAGACTACACTTCACTAAAAGTGGCTTCCCTAACATCACAGGATACTATGCATAAAGTTGGTGCATCCCAAGCAGTGACTCAATTAACACCACAGGTTACTCAAGTGGAAGACCATTCTTTACAAGAAGCATCTCCTCTACTGCAACAGTACACAATGGTGGAAGTCGCTACTACTCAAGCAGAAACTGTGACGGAAAATGACCATTTACAAGTAGAAATTCCTCTACCTATGCAGTGCACAAACGTTCAGGTCAAAACAACTCGAGCAGTGACTCCGTTAACAGCACAGGATACCATGGTTAAAGATAGCACATCCCAAGCAGTCACTCCATTAACAACTCAGTTTTCTCAAATGGAAGACCATTCTTTACAAGAAGAAACTCCTCTACCACCACAGTACACCTCAGAAAAAGTCAGCACTAGCCAAGCAGTCACTTCATTAACACCACAGATTACTCTGATGGAGGACCACTTTTTACAAGAAGTGTCTCCTCTACTGCAAAAGTACATGAAGGTGGAAATCAGTACTGCTCAGGCAGAGACACTTCTAACAAAACAGGCTACCATTATAGGAGACCATACTTTGCAAGAAGTGACTCCTCTACAGCCACAATACACTGAGAAGGAAGTGAGCACTACTCAAGCAGCGACTCCTCTACAGCCACATATTATGGAAGTCCCTAGTTCACAAGATGTGACTCGTCTAACATCACAGGATACTACGCATAAAGTTAGCACATCCCAAGCAGTGACTCCATTAACAGCTCAGATTACTCTCATACAAGACCATTCTTTACAAGTAGTGTCTCCTCTACTGCAACAGTACACAAAGATAGAAGTCGGCACTACTTGTCCAGAAACGATGATGGAAGATGATAATTTACGAGTAGTAAGTCCTCTACCACCAGTGTGTACAGTGGTTCAGATCAAAACTACTCGTACAGACACTACATTAACACCACAGACTGCTGTGATGGAAGACCATACTTCACTACAAATGGCTTCCCTAACATCGCAGGATATCATGGTTAAAGATAGCACATCCCAAGCAGTCACTCCATTAACAACTCAGATTGCTCTCATGCAAGACCATTCTTTACAAGAAGCAATTCCTTTACAGCAACAGTACACGAAAGTGGATGTCAGCACTACTCAGGTAGAGACTACTCTTTCCCCACAGATTACTATATTGGAAGACCTCTCTTTACAAGAAGTAACTCCTCTAACATCGCAGGAGACCATGGTTAAAGATAGCACATCCCGAGTAATCACTCCAATAACACCACAAATTGCTATGATGGAAAACCACACTTCACAAGAAATAACTACTTTAATATCACTGGAAACCATGGTTAAAGATAGCACAGCCCAAGCAGTCACTCCATTAACAACTCAGATTGCTCTCATGCAAGACCATTCTTTACAAGAAGCATCTCCGCTGTTGCAACAGTACACGAAGTTGGAAGTTAGCACTACGCAAGCAGACTCTCCTCTTACACCGCAGATTACTGTGATGGAAGAGTACAATTCACAAGTAGTAACTCTTCTACCACCACAATGCACAATGGTCGAATTCAGTACCTCTGAAGCAGAGCCTCTTCTGACATCACAGGTTACTATTATAGAAGTCCCTACTTCACAAGAAGTGACTCCTCTATCACAGGTGCCTATGCATAAAGTTGCCACTTCCCAAGTAGGTACTCCATCAACACCACAAGTTACTAAAATGGAAGACCAATCTTTACGGGAAATGTCTGCTCTACTGCCACAGTACACCTTGGTGGAAGTTGGAACTATTCAAACTAAGACTCCTCTAACAACACAGGCTACCGTGCAAAAGGTTGGAACATCCCAAACTGTCTCTCCAGTAATACCACAGATTATAATGATGGAAGACCAGACTACACAGGACATTGCATTAACACCACAGACTGGTGTGATGGAAGACCACACTTCACAAGACATAACTCCTCTAACACCACAGGAGACCATGGTTAAAGATACCACATCCCCAGCAGTGACTGAATTAACAAAGATTACTTTGATAGATGACCTCTCATTACAAGAAGTCTCTCCTCTTCAGCAACAGTACACGAAGATGGAAGTTAGCACTACTCTAGCAGTAACTTCATTAACACCACAGTTTGCAATGTTGGAAGACGTGGCTATGGAATACGTAAATAAAGAAGCCACTTCACAAGAAGTGGCTCCTCATCAACCACAATATAACAATATGGAAGTCAGCACTGTTCAAACAAAGACTCCTCTGATAACACAAATTGCTATGATGGATAACTACAATTCACAAGTAGTAACTCCTCTACCACCACAAATCAAAGATGAAGTCAGTACTACTCGTGCAGTGACACATATAATACCACAGATTACTATTATGGAAGACCATACTTCAGAAGAAGAGAATCCTCTTCTGCAACAGTACACCAAAGTAGAGGTCTGCACTACTCAACCAGGCACTCCATTAACATCAAAGATGGCTTTGATGGAAGATGACATTTCACAAGCAATGTGTCCATTAACACCACAGATTGCTATGATGGAGAGCTACAATTTGCAAGAAGTAGCTCCTATACCACCACAGTATGCAATGGTTGAAGTCAACACTACTCAAACAGTGACTTCATCAACACCACGGATTGCTATGATGGAAGACTGGTCTTTACAAGAAGTGACTCCTCTACCACCACACCACACCAAGGTGGAAGTCAGCACTACTCAAGCAGTGACTCTTACTCCACAGATTACTGTGATGGAAGAGTACAATTCACAAATAGTAACTCCTTTACCACAACAATTTCCAATGGTTGAAGTCAGCACTACTAAAGCATACTCTCCTCTAACACCACAGATTGCTATGATGGAAGAACACACACCACAAGAAGTAACTCCTCTAACATTACAAGATACCATGGTTAAAGTCAGGACTTCCCAAGCAGAAACTCTATTAATGCCACAGATTGCTATTATGGAAGACCATTCTTCAGCAGAAATGTCTCTTCTACCACCACAATGCACCTTGATGGAAGTTGGCGCTACTCGACCAGTGACTCCTCTAACACCACAGATCAAGGAAGACCTTGCTTCACAAGAAGTGATTACTCTAACATCACAAGATATTGAGCATAAAGTTGGCACATCACAAAGAATGACTGTATTAGCACCACAGATTACTACGATGGAAGACTGGTCTTTACAAGAAGTGTCTCCTCAACCATCACAGTACACCAAGGTGGAAGTCAGCACTTCCTTAACAGGGACTCCAACACAGATTACTGTTACGGAAGAAAAGTCTTTACAAGACATGACTCTTCCATCAGAACAGTATGCCATGGTGGAAGATAACTGCTCCCAAGTAATAATTCCTGTAACACCTCAAATTACTGAAATAGAAGACAAGAAATTAAGAGAGTTGGCTCCCTCAACACCACATTACTCCATGGAGGAAGCCAACACCTCTGGGGCAGTGACACCTCTAACACAGATTACTAAGATTGAAAGTCTCACACCTGTGGCACTGACTTCTGTAGCACCACAGATATCTGTGATGGAAGACCACACTGTACATGAAGCGACTCCATTAACACCACATGTTACTCTGATGGAAGACCACACTTTACAAGAAGTGTCTCCTTTAATGACACAGTACAACAAGGTGGAAGTTAGCACTACTCAAGCAGAGACTCCTCTTAACCTACAGATTACTGTGATGGAAGAGAATACTTCACAAGTAGTAACTCTTCTAAAACCACAATGCACAACGGTTGAAGTTGGCACTACTCAAGCATTGACTCCATTAACACCACAGATTACTATTATTGAAGTCTCAACTTCAGAAGAAGTGGCCCCTCTAATATCACAGGATACTATGCATAAAGTTGGCATATCCCAAGCTGAGACTCCAGTAACACCACAGATTATTTTGTTGGAAGACCATTCTTTACAAGAAGAAACTCCTCTACCACCACAGATTACTCTGATGGAATACCACACTTCACAAGAAGAGACTTCTTTAACAACACAAGATATCATAGATAAAGATAGCACTTCCCAAGCAGTGACTCTATTAACACCACAGATTACTCTGATGGATGACCACTCTTTACAAGAAGTGTCTCCTCTTCTACCACAGTACAAGATGATGAAAGTTGGCACTACTCAAGCAGAGACGATGATAGAAGATGACAATTTACAAGTAGTGACTCCTCTACCACCACAGTATTCAATGGTTCAAGTTAAAAGTACTCGAGCAGCGATTCCATCAACACCACAGGCATCTTTGAAGGAAGACGACACTTCACTACAAGTGGCTTCTCTAACATCACAGGATACTATGCACAAAGTTTTCATATCTGAAACAGTGAGTCCACTAGCACAACAGATTCCTAAGATGGAAGACCATTCTTTACTAGAAATATCTGCTCTACCACCACAGTACACCATAGTGGAAGTCGGAACTATTCAAACTAGGACTCCCCTAACACAGGCTTCTGTACTTAAGGTTGGAATGTCCCAAGCAGTGTCTCCATTATCACCACACATTACTGTGATGGAAGGCCATACTACACAGGATGTGACTGCATTAAAATCACAAGCTGGTGTGATGGAAGACCACACTACACAAGAAGTGACTCCGTTAACACCACAGATTACTAATATTGAAAGTATCAAACCAGTGGCAGTTAATCCTACCACACTACCGAACTCCACAGTGGAAATCTGTACATCAAAAGCAATGACTTGTGTAACACCACAAATTACTATAATGAAAGACTACAATTCACAAGTGGTAACTCCTCTACCACAATTTCCAATGATTGAAGTCAGCACTACTAAAGCATACTCTCCTCTAACACCACAGATTGCTATGATTGAAGAAAGCACACCACAAGAAGTAACTCCTCTAACATTACAAGATACCATGGTTAAAGTCAGCACTTCCCAAGCAGCAACTCTATTAATGCCACAGATTGCTATTATAGAAGACCATTCTTCAGCAGAAATGTGTCTTCTACCACCACAATGCACCTTGATGGAAGTTGGCGCTACTCGACCAGTGACTCCTCTAACACCACAGATTACTGTCAAGGAAGACCTTGCTTCACAAGAAGTGATTACTCTAACATCACAGGATATTGAGCATAAAGTTGGGACATTGCAAATGATGACCGTATTAGCACCACAGATTACTATGATGGAAGACCAGTCTTTACAAGAAGTGTCTCCTCTACCACCACACTACACCAAGGTGGAAGTCACCACTTCGCTAACAGGAACTCCAACACAGATTATGGAAGAAAAGTCTTCACAAGACATGACTCTTCCATCAGAACAGTATGCCATGGTGGCAGATAACTGCTCCCAAGTAATAATTCCTGTAACACCACAAATTACTGAGATGGAAAACAAAAAATTAAGAGAGTTGGCTCCATCAACACCACATTACTCCACGGAGGAAGCCAACACCTCTGGGACAGTGACACCTCTAACACTGATTACTAAGACTGAAAATCTCACACCTGTGGCAGTTACTCCTACCACACTACAGAACACCAGAGTGGAAATCTGTACATCAAAAGCAATGACTCCATTAACACCACATATTGCTATGGTGGAAGACTGCACTACACAACAAGTGACTCCATTAACACCACATGCTGCTATGGTGGAAGACCACACTACACAAGAAGTGACTCCATTAACACCACAGATTACTCTGATGGAAGACTGCACTACACACAAAGTGTCTCCTCTACTGCCGCAGTACAACAAGGTGGAAGTTAGCACTACTCAAGCAGAGACTCCTCTTACCCCACAGATTACTGTGATGGAAGACCACATTCCACAAGTGACTCCATTAACACCACATATTACTATGATGGGAGACTGCACTACACAACAAGTAACTCCATTAACACCACACATTGCTTTGATGGAAGACCACACTACACAACAAGTAACTCCATTAACACCACACATTGCTTTGATGGAAGACCACACTACACAACAAGTAACTCCATTAACACCACACATTGCTTTGATGGAAGACCACACTACACAACAAGTAACTCCATTAACACCACACATTGCTATGACAGAAGACCACACTACACAACAAGAAACTCCATTAACACCACATATTGCTTTGATGGAAGACCACACTACACAACAAGTAACTCCATTAACACCACATATTACTATGATGGGAGACTGCACTACACAAAATGTAACTCCATTAACACCACACATTGCTATGACAGAAGACCACACTACACAAGAAGTAACTCCATTAACACCACATATTGCTATGGTGGAAGACCACACTACACAAGAAGTAACTCCATTAACACCACATATTGCTATGATGGAAGACTGCACTACACAAGAAGTAACTCCATTAACACCACATATTGCTATGGTGGAAGACCACACTACACAAGAAGTGACTCCATTAACACCACATATTGCTATCATGGAAGACCACACTACACAAGAAGTAACTCCATTAACACCACATATTGCTATGATGGGAGACTGCATTACACAAGAAGTAACTCCATTAACACCACATATTGCTATGATGGGAGACTGCATTACACAAGAAGTAACTCCATTAACACCACATATTGCTATGGTGGAAGACCACACTACACAAGAAGTGACTCCATTAACACCACATATTGCTATCATGGAAGACCACACTACACAAGAAGTAACTCCATTAACACCACATATTGCTATGATGGGAGACTGCATTACACAAGAAGTAACTCCATTAACACCACATATTGCTATGGTGGAAGACCACACTACACAAGAAGTAACTCCATTAACACCACATATTGCTATGATGGGAGACTGCATTACACAAGAAGTAACTCCATTAACACCACATATTGCTATGATGGGAGACTGCATTACACAAGAAGTAACTCCATTAACACCACATATTGCTATGATGGGAGACTGCATTACACAAGAAGTAACTCCATTAACACCACATATTGCTATGATGGGAGACTGCATTACACAAGAAGTAACTCCATTAACACCACATATTGCTATGATGGGAGACTGCATTACACAAGAAGTAACTCCATTAACACCACATATTGCTATGATGGGAGACTGCATTACACAAGAAGTAACTCCATTAACACCACATATTGCTATGATGGGAGACTGCATTACACAAGAAGTAACTCCATTAACACCACATATTGCTATGATGGGAGACTGCATTACACAAGAAGTAACTCCATTAACACCACATATTGCTATGATGGGAGACTGCACTACACAAGAAGTAAATCCTCTAGCATCAAAGGATATTGTGGTTAATGAGACCACTTCCCAAGCAGTGACTCAATTAGCACCACATATTACTCTGATGGAAGACCACATTTTACAAGAAGTGTCTCCTCTACTGCCACAGTACAAAAATGGGGAAGTCAGCACTACTCAAGCAGAAACTCAATTAACACCCCAGGTCACTGCTATAGAAGTCCCTACTTCAGAAGAAGTGACCCCACTAATATCACAGGATACTATGCATAAAGTTGGCACACCCCAAACAGCGACTCCAATAACACCACAGATTATTCTATTAGAAGACTGTTCTCTACAAGAAGAAAGTATTCTACCACCACAGTACACCTCAGACAAAGTCAGCACTAGCCAAGCAGTCACTCCATTAACAGCACAGATTTCTCTCATGGAAGACCACACTTCACAAGAAGAAACTACTTTAACATCAGAAAATACTATAGATAAAGATAGCACATCCCAAGCAGTCACTCCATTAACACCACAGATTACTCTGATGGACGACCACTCTTTACAAGAAGTGTCTCCTCTACCACCACACTACACCAAGGTGAAAGTCAGCACTACTCGAGCAGTGACTCCATTAACAACACAGATTACTAATATTGAAAGTATCACACCTGTGGCAGTTACTCCTACCACACTACAGAACACCATAGTGGAAATCTGTACATCAAGAGCAATGACTTCTGTAACACCACAAATTACTGTGATGGAAGATGACAATAGACAAGAAGGGACTCCTTTAACACCACATATTGCTATGATGGAAGACCACACTTTACAAGAAATGTCTCCTTTACTGCTACAGTATAACAAGATGGAAGTTAACACTACTCAAGCAGAGACTCCTCTTACCCCACAGATTACTATGATGGAAGACTACAATTCACAAGTAGTAACTCTTTTACCACCACAATGCACATCAGTTGAAGTTGGCTCTACTCAAGCAGTGACTCCATTAACACCGCAGATTACTTTGATGGAAGACCACACTATACAAGATGTGTGTCCTCTTCTGCCACGGTACAAGATGATGAAAGTCGGCACTACTCAAGTAGAGACGACAATGGAAGAGGACAATTTACAAGTAGTGACTCCTCTACCATCACAGTATTCAATGGTTCAAGTCAAAAGTACTCAAGCCATAATTCCATTAACACTACAGGAAACTGTGAAGGAAGACCACACGTCACTAGAAGTGGCTTCTTTAACATCACTGGATATTATGCATAAAGTTGGCATATCTGAAACAGAAAGTCAATTTGCATCACAAATTACTAAGATGGAAGACCATTCTTTACAAGAAATGTCTGCTCTACCACCACAGTACACCGTAGTGGAAGTCGGAACTATTCAAACTAAGACTCCTCTAACGACGCAGGCTCCTGTGCTTAAGGTTGAAACATCCCAAGCAGTGTCTCCATTATCACCACATATTACTGTGATGGAAGGCCATAGTACACAGGATGTGACTGCATTAACATCACAGGCTGGTGTGATGGAAGACCACACTACACAAGACGTGACTCCATTTACACCACAGATTACTCTGATGGAAGACCACACTTTACAAGAAATGTCTCCTCTACTGCCACAGTACAACAAGGTGGAAGTCAGCAATATTCAAGCAGAAACAATGATGGAAGAGTACAATTCACAAGTAGTAACTCTACCACCACAATGTACCACTGTTGAAGTTGGTACTATTCAAGCAGTGACTCTTTTAACACCACAGATTACTACTATAGAAGTCCCCATTTCAGAAGAAGTGATTCCTCTATCATCACAGGATACTCTGCATAAAGTTGGCACATTCCAAGCTGCGACTCCAATAACACCACACATTATTCTATTGGAAGACTGTTCTTTACAAGAAGAAACTCCTCTACCACCACAATACACCTCAGACAAAGTCAGCACTAGCCAAGCAGTGACTTCATTAACACAACAGATTCCTCTGATGGACGACCACTCTTTACAGGACGTGTCTCCTCTATCACCGGAGTACACATCAGAGAAAGTCAGCACTAGCCAAGCAGTCACTCCATTTACACCACAGATTACTCTGATGGACGACCATACTTCACAAGAAGAAACTCCGCTAACATTACAGGATACCATGGTTAAAGATAACACTTCCCAAGCAGTGACTCCATTAACACAGATTACTTTGATGGAAGACCACTCTTTACAAGAAATGTCTCCTCGGCTGCCTCAGTACACCGTAGTGGAAGTCGGAACTACTCAAACTAAGGCTCCTCTAACAACACAGGCTTCTATGCTTAAGGTTGAAACATCCCAAGCAGTGTCTCCATTATCACCACATATTACTATGATGGAAGGCTACAATTTGCAAGTCGTAGTTCCTATACCACCACAGTGCGCAATGGCTGAAGTCGGCACTACTCAAACAGTGATACCATTAACTCCACAGATTGCTATAATGGAAGACAACACATTACAAGAAGTGTCTCTTCTACCACCACAATACACCAAGGTGAAAGTCAGCACTACTCGAGCAGTGACTCCATTAACAACACAGATTACTAATATTGAAAATCTCACATCTGTGGCAGTTACTCCTGCCACACTACAGAACACCACAATGGAAATCTGTACATCAAAAGCAATGACTTGTGTAACACCACAAATTACTATAATGAAAGAATACAATTCACAAGTGGTAACTCCTCTGCCACAACAATTTCCAATGGTTGAAGTCAGCACTACTAAAGCATACTCTCCTCTAACACCACAGATTGCTATGATGGAAGAACACGCGCCACAAGAAGTAACTCCTCTAACATCACAAGATACCGTGGGTAGAGTCAGCACTTCCCAAGCAGCAACTCTATTAATGCCACAGATTGCTATTATGGAAGACCATTCTTCAGCAGAAATGTGTCTTCTACCACCACAATGCACCTTGATGGAAGTTGGCGCTACTCGACCAGTGACTCCTCTTGAACCACAGATTATTATCAAGGAAGACCTTGCTTCACAAGAAGTGATTACTCTAACATCACAGGATATTGAGCATGAAGTTGGCACATCACAAATTATAACTGTATTAGCACCACATAATACTATGATGGAAGACCAGTCTTTACAAGAAGTGTCTCCTCTACCACCACACTACACCAAGGTGGAAGTCACCACTTCCCTAGCAGGGACTCCAACACAGATTACTTTTAAGGAAGAAAAGTCTTTACAAGACCTGACTCTTCCATCAGAACAGTATACCATGGTGGAGGATAACTGCTCCCAAGTAATAATTCCTGTAACACAACAAATTACTGAGATGAAAGACAAAAAATTCAAAGAGTTGACTCCATTAACACCACATATTGCTCTGATGGAAGATCTCACTACACAAGGAGTGACTCCATTTACACCACATATTTCTATGAAGGAACACTGCACTATGCAAGTAGTGACCCCATTAACACCACATATTTCTATGATGGAAGACCACACTACACAAGAAGTGACTCCATTTACACCACATATTGCAACTATGGAAGACCGCACTACACGGGTGACTCCATTAACACCACATGTTGCTATGGTGGAACACCACGCTACACAAGAAATGACTCCATTAACACCACATATTTCTATGATGGAAGACCACACTACACAAGAAGTGAATCCATTACCATCACATATTGCTACAATGAACGACCGCACTACACAAGTGACTCCATTAACAACACACGTTGCTATGATGGAAAACCTCACCTCGCAAGAAGTGTCTCCTTTATTACCACAGTACAACAGGGTGGAAGTTAGCACTACTCAAGCAGAGACTCATCTTAATCCACAGATTACTGTGATGGAAGAGTACAATTCACAAGTAGTAACTCTTCTACCACCACAATACACAACTGTTGAAGTTGGCACTACTCAAGCAGAAATGATGATGGAAGATGACAATTTACAAGTAGTGACTCCTCTACCACCACAGTATTCAATGGTTCAAGTCAAAAGTACTCTAGCAGTGACTCCATTAACACCACAGACTGCTGTATTGGAAGACCACACTTCACTAGAAGTGGCTTCTCTAACATCACAGGATACTATGCATAAAGTTGGCATATCTGAAACAGCGAGTCAATTTGCACCACAGATTACTAAGATGGAAGACCATTCTTTACAAGAAATGTCTGCTCTACCACCACAGTACACCGTAGTGGAAGTCGGAACAATTCAAACTAAGACTCCTCTAACAACGCAGGCTCCTGTGCTTAAGTCTGAAACATCCCAAGCAGTGTCTCCATTATCACCACATATTACTATGATGGAAGGCCATAGTACACAGGATTTGACTGCATTAACATCACAGGCTGGTGTGATGGAAGACCACACTACACAAGAAGTAATTCTTCTAACATCAAAGGATATCATTGTTAAAGATGCCACATCCCAAGCAGTGACTCTATTAACACCACATATTACTCTGATGGAAGACTACACTTTACAAGAAGTGTCTCCTCTACTGCCACAGTACAACAAGGTGGAAGTCAGCACTACTCAAGCAGAGACTCCATTAACACCACAGATCACTACTATAGAAGCCCCTAATTCAGAAGAAGTAACCCCTCTAATATCACAAGATACTATGCATAAAGTTGGCATATCCCAAGCTGTGACTCCATTAACACCACAGATTAGAAGTGTGGAAGACGACACTTCACAAGAAGAAACTCCTCTAACATCACAGGATACAATTGTTAAAGATAGCACTTCTCGAGCGGTGACTCCATTAACACAGATTACTTCGATGGAAGACCATTCTTTACGCGAAATGTCTGCTCTACCGCCACAGTACACCTTAGTGGAAGTCGGAACTATTCAAACTACGGCTCCTCTAACAACACAGGCTTCTGTGCTTAAGGTTGAAACCTCCCAAGCAGTGTCTCCATTATCACCACATTTTACTATGATGGAAGGCTACAATTTGCAAGTAGTAGCTCCTATACCACCACAGTGTGCAATGGCTGAAGTCGGCACTACTCAAACAGTGACTCCATTAACACCACAGATTACTATGATGGAAGAGTACAATTCACAAATAGTAACTCCTCTGCCACAACAATTTCCAATGGTTGAAGTCAGCACTACTAAAGCATACTCTCCTCTAACACCACAGATTGCTATAATGGAAGAACACACACCACAAGAAGTATCTTCTCTAACATTACAAGATACCGTGGTTAAAGTCAGCACTTCCCAAGCAGCAACTCTATTAATGCCACAGATTGCTATTATGGAAGACCATTCTTCAGCAGAAATGTCTCTACCACCACCACAATGCAAGTTGGTGGAAGTTGGTGCTACTCGACCAGTGACTCCTCTAACACCACATATTACTATCAAGGAAGACCTTGCTTCACAAGAAGTGATTACTCTAACATCACAGGATATTGAGCATAAAGTGAGCACATCGCAAATGATAACTGTATTAGCACCACATATTACTATGATGGAAGACCAGTCTTTACAAGAAGTGTCTCCTCTACCACCACACTACACCAAGGTGGAAGTCACCACTTCCCTAGCAGGGACTCCAACACAGATTACTCTTAAGGAAGAAAAGTCTTTACAAGACACGACTCTTCCATCAGAACAGTATACCATGTTGGAAGATAACTGCTCCCAAGTAATAATTCCTGTAACACGACAAATTACTAAAATGGAAGACAAAAAATTCAAAGAGTTGGCTCCCTCATCACCACATTACTCCATGGATGAAGCCAACACCTCTGGGGCAATGATACCTCTAACACAGATTACTAAGATTGAAAGTCTCACACCTGTGGCAGTTACTCCTACCACACTACAAAAAACTATAGGGGAACTCTGTACATCAAAAGCAATGACTTCTGTAACACCGAAGATGTCTGTGTTGGAAGACTATAGTTTGCAACACATTTCTCCTCTACCACCACAATACACTATGGTGGAAGTCAACACAAAAATGGCAGTGGCTCCAATGCCAGAAGTTACTATAATTGAGGATTACACTTCGTCAAATGTCACTCATCTTGAACCACAGAATCTCACGACAGATATTGTTAGTTCTCAAGCACTTACTCCTCTAACACCACAGATTACTATGATTGAAGACTACAACTTGCAAGTAGTAACGCCTCTACCACCACAGTGCACCAAGGTGGAAATCAGCGCTCCTCGACCATCGACTCCTTTAACACCTCAGATTGCTATGCTGGAAGACCATACTTCACAAAAAGTGACTCCTCAAACATCGCAGATAACTATTATGGAAGACAATATTCCTAAAGTAGTGCTGCCTGCAACTTCACAGTACACAGCACTGGAAATTAACACTTCCCAAGTGGGGGTTGATCTAAGACAGTGTATCACTGAGATGAAAATTCACACTGTACAAGAAGTGGCTCCTCTAATACCACAGGACAATGTGGTTAAAGTAAATGTTTCTCAGGCAGGATTTCCTCTAGTACCAGATATTAAGAATGAAGAGCATAGATCCCAAGTAGTGACTCCTTTAACACTGCTTACTGGGGTGGAAGGCGACACTTTTCCGGCAGTGACCCCTTTACCACTAAATACTTCTGTTATAGAAGATGGCATTTCCCAAACACTAACTCATCAGACACCACGGAACTCGTTGCCAAATATCAGCTCATTTCAAGGAGTAACACCTTCACATCAGATTCCTGTTGCAGATCTCGGCACTTACCCATCAGGAATGTCTCTAACACCACAGTACCCAATTGTTAATGTTATTGATTATCAAACTGTGGCTCCTCAAATGGTAAATCCTCAAATGCCACAAAATTCTGTGATAGATGTTAGCACTCGTGATGATATCAGTGAATTGCAAGTAGACACACGTTCATCGCTAGTAAATCTCCAGATGAATGTCGATAAATTCCAAGCAATGACTACCACCACTTTGGTAGATCCTGCAACCATGCCAATAACGTCACCGTCACAGACGTGTACTAAATATGCACATGGTTCCCAGGTTGCTTCTAGTGTACTAACACATGATTCGATAGTGGAAGTCATCAACTCTGATGTGCCTCGTGTAACACAGTCATTAATAGTTCCCAAACATGCATCTTGTTCATTTGTCTTGCCTAATCATCTAAATTCTAAGATTGGATTGGAAACTGTCTCTGGTTCAACAGCTGGCCAGCTCTTCAAAAAGGAAATGGAACCACTAGAATTGAACTATAGCCTAGAAATTAGCCCTCTAGCAACATCTACACCAACTGAAACACACAACTACCAAATTTATGACAGCCAGAGTGTTGCAGCACCTTCATTCATGTTCCCCATTGACTTTACAGCAAGCAGTCCATGCACAGTCAAGTCCATCATTACAGACAGATCATTTGCTACTACTTGTAACACAGAAGACAGCGCTTACCTTGATGCTAACTTTTCAGAACATTTTAAGAGGGCTGATGAACATATCAATATTGTTAATGTATATACTGAGACTGCCACAGAAGAAAAGGTTTGTAGTGTTACTGTGCCTACAACAAGCCAAGTACTGAAAAGAGCCTTGCCTACAAATCCAACAAATGGGATGCCAGTTCACTCTTCCATCTTACCAGATAGTTTAAACACATCTGTAGCAAACATTTATACCCCAACTTCTCATTCAGTTTTCCATGAAACATTTAAGAAAGAGGCAAGAGTAACTGTGGGGCCTGAACTGCCGAATAATAATAAAGATATAAATGAATTTCCAGATCCTGATAACTTGGAAAAGAGTGAAGCATCACCACGTCTACAACTTGAAATGAATAGTCAGAATGTAGATATTCAAGGTTTAGACAAAATAAAAGGAGCAAATCAAGTTACTGTAAAGAGATGCAAGTCAGAAATATTGACAAATAAACATGTACCATTAGCACTTGCCGAAACCTCGGTAAGTGATGAAGAATCACACAAAGCACAAATTCAAAAAGAAAATATTCATATAAAGGAATGTAAAGACAATATACTTACAGTGAATCAAATGTCTGGCAACAGATTTGAATTAGTTAGTGAGAACATATCTATAAGTAAGGGCAAAAGTGAAGCCATCAGTGATGATGGCTTATCAGTTTTGACTCGGAAGTCAGCCAAAACCTCTGTGCCCACTTCCAAAATTAATGTGGTTGCCGACACTAACAGTACAAAACTTGTTGAAGAACAGAAAATGACACCGTCATCTTGCGATGTTCCTCGTGCAACATTGAACCAAGAAGACTCGGTAACTAGTGAATTTGATAAACTAAATTCTAACATACAGCCAGAAGGTAAGAGAAAAGATGCTGGATATCAAGGAGTAAATATTGGTCTCACAAGCGCTCAGCCAGGTAAGGACACCTTACCATATGGTACCGAGGGCCAGTCCGTTGTCGGCAACATTACTGGCCAGGGCGCTTTGGCAGGCTTAGATATGCTCTCTAGGCAAAACTTTGCAAGACATTTTGCTGAAGACAACAGAATATGTGATAAAACAGGGTCAGAAACATCTAATATACAGTTACCAGTAAAACCCCTTACAACATTCTTAGCTCCTGATACAAAGGAGAAACCTGATGATTTAGTAGCATCTTGTACTTCCAGCACCCCTGGCTCAAGTGAAAGGGTAATTAGTGAGAACAAAAACACACATTTTGCAATAGATACAAATGATTACCAAACTCAGAAAATTTATCTTCTAAACCAATGCAATGTAAGTGGAAATGAAGTCGGTACATTTTCAGAAAGTAGTGAGCAGTCGGTTACCTCCTACAGTACCTCTGTGAAGGATACAGTTGGAAAAATAGAAAACAAAAGGGAGAGTCCATTAAAATTTCCATTGTTAAATGAATCTACTGTCAGTTGGTCAAATGTTCCTGGAAATACATTGCTTGAAGCCAAAGATCAGTCAATAGTTCATGGAGATTCTTGCCATGTTATATCAGGTGGCCAGGATATAAAGACTAAAGTTTTAGAAAGCAAAAACCAACAGTGTTTGCCTCAACCTAGTGTCAGTGACTACGATCACAGTGCCAGTGAAATTCAGAGAGAGGCGAGTACATTAGGCAAAGACATTAGCCATCTCCAAGAACCATCTTCTTCTGATCAACTTTTAGCAAGTATAAAAAGGCAGATCTACTCACGAAAGTTTGCAGGTGACATAAAGCACTCTGATTTGAGTGAAGCTGATGTCTCGATACAGCCCCTTCTTATGAAGGATTCCAATGTGACCGAGAGTAAACAAAAGAACTTATTGCGTGCAAGCAAAATATGGAATGAAATAACTACGGACATAAATAATGAAACACGAGAGAAAAGAGTTGCCTCTGAGTCGGCTCTCCCAAACCAATATAGTGTCTGTATTGCAACACAAAATTATATAAGTGATAGTGAATTACCCTTTCAACAAGAATGTCATAATGATAACTTAACAAATATTAGCATGAAAAGTGTCAGCTCTTTGCCACCTGCAAATAAATCAAATGACACTGCAAATAAAACACAAATGTTGTTGAATACAAATATTGTCATAAATTCCGATAAACTGAATCCCTTAGTCAAGGAAAAAGTGCCAGTAAAATGCAAAATAAGTGGTAGGGCTGTGATGACTTACCCAGATGTGTCAGCTGATTGGTTATGTGACAAGTCCCGGAAGACCAGTGCAGAACATTACAGTAGTGAATTGCATGTACATAGTGGCAGTTCTTCAGCTGGAAATATAGATGGTAAAGGTGCTGCAATAGAATCTGATGTTTGTGTCCAACCTTTACGAATGGAAGCAAATATTAGATATAATTCAAGCAGTGAACTTGCCCATATTGGAGATAGGGGCATTGATAGCATTTCAGATACAAACTTGAGATTTGATTGTAAAAAGAAACAGTTACCAGCTCAAGATACACCAGCAAATTTAGAAAAGGATGGATTTAGTATATCTAGCCAGAATAAAAATAAAAAAGAAAACATTGAAAGCAAAATGTATTACAGTTCCTTGGGAGTTACAAAAGTTAACGATGAATATGTAAATCCAGATAGCGACACAAGTTTTCTTTTGAATCGATCATTACCTGCCAAGGTTGAAGTGCATAACCAAATGCAAAGTCTTTCTATTAAGGAAAAAAGGGAACCAAAACAGATAGAAAAACTGACTTCACCTTCCTGGCAAGGCAGGTTTTTGATGGCACGAGATTGTACAAGTGATGATTGGGGTGCATCTGATGAAAGCATCACATTTGTATTCATGAATCCTGGGGAAGGCGAATCTGCAGGGAATGAACTCAAGACTACCATAGGCAAGTCATCAAGCCCCAATTTCCAGAGTTCTTCCGATTTGTCACAAGTCGGTTTAAGCATTGCCATTCCTAATGAAACAAAACGTACACATTCTTATGACCTTTACAAAACTAATTGTGCACGACTAGTACGTACCACCTCTCTTGACTCCATTTGTTGTGCACTCCATAAGTTCAGGGTCTCAAAGCTGAAGACTATGCTTCAACGTACTTGTAGCTTGGAAGATGATGTAAATCAAGAACTGGAGGATATATTAGAAAGGGGCAGATTGTTTTCATCAAATGATTCACTAGCAGATGTAGAAAAGTGTGATTTCAAAATAACTAAAATACAAACCTCGGCTAAGGAAGTTAAGGAAGAACGTTTTATTCATGAACATGCAAGCGAAATTGCTCATAAAGAATCTAATATTGATAGTCAGGTTATTGTGAGTGATGTTACTGGGGATGAAGTGTTTGCCAAGTCACCCTCCCCTGTTCCTACATTTGGTCAAACTAATTGGCTTGAGTTCAAGAGCCTCATACTTGGACGCCCTCTCCCACCGTCTTCAGTGCGAAGCATTGCTGGAGAATCGAGCAAATCATCTCCACAGTTGCACCCAAAGCAAAAAATTGAAAATTTAAGTAAAAAAGCAGTGTCATGGACAGATTTGAAGGGCTGTGGAGAATTAGAGATGGAAGTACCTGAGGTTTTTGGAGTTCAAGAGCCTCTCAAGCCTATTCTGCATCTTAGGTCAATTATGAAAAAACCATCTTTGTCACCAATTGCTCCAACTCCTCCACCTCCCACACCACCACCATGCTCCTCTCCTCGGCTCCCAGCTGTTACACCCAACACGCTCCAACTCACTTTATCTCCTTCACATCCCAAGCATTTTGTTGCAGCTGATAGTTCTCCTTTAGAAGAGTTCAGTGATGGAGATGAGATTCCTCTATCTAGTTCAAATTCAATGGAAATATTTTCTCTACGGTTACCTCAACACATACGAGAGCGTGTTTATAGAGATTCCTGTCTATCAAATGAGGAATTGCAAGACTTTAGTGGTAATAATCCTTCTAGTGCTAAGTTGCATGCAAAAGACATGTCCAATTCAGAAGTTCAGAGTATCTCTGAGTCTTTCACCACTTCCAAAACATCCAGTTGCTCTCCGGTTATAAATAACTCTAAAACTTCTGCTTTTGCTTCAGCTTTAAGTGAAATTAAAACTTCTAAAGCTTCTCCATCTTTAAGCATTGTTAAACCTTATCGAGTTTCTCGATCTCTTGGTAATTCTTTGTCTATGGATGATAGTGCATCTTTAGGATTTTCACAGTATTCTGGTGTATCAACATCTTCAAATATTTCCTTGTATTCAGGAGTTTCACCAACCTCAAGAGCCACTTCTTCCTCTGGTGTGTCATGCTCTGGATTCTCATCATCAGGTGTTGTGTCATCTCCTGGAGGTGCCTCTCCAATGCATGATGCTACTTCATCTGAAATTCTTCAATCAAACAATTCTGTTATGTTAAGTCATACAACAATGAGTCCTGTATCCAGCTTAACCATTTCTAGAAGATATTTAAGAGGTAAACATTTTCAAACATCATCTGTTCCATCCACAACATCAGAAACATTACATACTGGTTTGTCATCACCCACTAGTGCACACACTGCTCCAACAACACCCTCTGGAGAAGCTGCACCATCTAATCCTGAAAATTTGGGGAACCAAAACATATCCCGGTGCAGAAGTGAAGGAGATATGCTGCCAGCTGTTGAGGGATTTTCAAATACGTGGACTGCTTTGTCTACTGTTATGCAGGAAGCTGGCACTATACTGAAGACACTCTCAGAAACATCTTTAGTATTACACCAACAGATTGTCAGTCCTAGCCATAAAGCACCTCTGCCTCCAGTAATTGAAGAAAGTAGTGGAGGAAGTAGCTTGTTAAGCACTTCAAGTAGAAAAGAAGTTATGTCGGTTGCTGTACAAACTGATTACCATCATCTAAGCAGCATTAAAACAAAATCAGTGGATGCCCAGACCAGCTTTGAATCAGTGTTTGACAGTGAAAGTACAGATAATGGATCAAAATTATCCCAAACACATCATTTTCCTTCCACTAGAAATACTTTGAAGCCAAATTTATCAGATGCTTCGAGCTCAACAACTGCAGTCAGCCCAGGTTCCAAAGGAGTGTCATTTTTACAAGAGATTGATAGTCTGCAAAAAGAGCGGGAACGTATAAATCGTGTACTTGGTAAATATGAGAAATCGCTCCATACTCCTCAAATTAGAAGTAGAGTAAGTCACAGAAGTTCATCAACAGACTTAGATTCTCCAATATCCAGCATTATGGCAAGCCTTCAGAACTTAACACAGACACAATATGACAGAGAAATTGATAATGAACCAGGAAGTCAGTGGCAAAGCCTAAGTGCAACCAGTAAGCGATATTTAGCTATGTATAAGCAACGGTTGGAAGATTCATGTTATCATCTAGAGGAAAGACTGAAGCTTAACGCACGGAAGCGGCAGTTACGCAAACAGATTCTCTCCAATAATCACAATCATTATTCTCATGTTCGAGATAAATTGGCTCTGCATGCATCTTTAGATTTTGCCAAAAAGCCTTTCTGTGGGCAAGTACAAAACTCCTCTCCTGCTTCGTACATGTCAACAGGGTCATTGCCTACTGTAAGACCACAAAGTCCTTGCCATAGTAAGGAAGGTTCTCCTTGCTGTTGTATATCACCTACACATCGACCTTATCATAATCAGTGCAGATCTCCTGCTAGTTCTTGCTCTGCACACACCCACTGGGCTTCCTGTCATGCTACTCCATCTCAAAACTTTTCATATACTCCTCATTGTATGAGTTCAAGGGTTCGCACATCTACACAACAATGTAGAGAGCACCTACTAAATCTCCGGCATCATTTAGGGAGTACATCAGGACTAGCAAGTTCTTCCAGCTCCTTAGGAGAAAGTCCTTCAGTAAGATATCGCCATCACCTTAAGGATATAGGAAACAGTTTTGATACTCCCTATCAAAGAGGGCATGCTGCATCGCTTTCTTCCCTACCCAGGGCAAGCAGCATGCCTAGATCTTGGAGACGGGCTGCAAGTGGATCTTCAGCCTCTGTTGCTAGTGAAAATGAAACGGATAGGAAACAAACGTGCCGGCGCGTTGATTCTGATTCTGATTCTGGTGCTGGATGGTCATCCAGTGGTACTAGTCTCCGCTATTCTTACCATTGAGTGAATCATTCATGTGCTACTTTGTGTTGCATAATATAACACCTGTCATTAAAATCCTTGATGTATTGAGTTATTTGACTTTTTGCCATTGAAATTTGGCTTTCTCTCATGCCCAGGAACATGGTGTTTCCTATAAATGTACATTGATAGAAAAGCCAAAATACCCATATTGTGCCATATGATGTATCTAGTCTTGGAGATTTTAATTGTAAGTTATAATAGGACTTTTATAGAGATGTAAATGGTTGAAAAGTTAAAAAGTTTTGGTCATAAAGAACCAAGCTACAAATCAGAAGTATTTTAAGTACTGTTTGTACTGCTTTCTTTTTGTATAGGATTGTAGCACTAATTATGTGCCAGGTATTATCAAGTCTTCCATTTGGAACTTTGAAGATTATATATGAAACCTGTTTAAATTATAATGTGAGGGCTATAATGTGTGCCTACAATAAATTACACACTTATTCATGTTTAATATCCTATTAAGAATATCATGTTTAATATCCTCTTGGTATCTGAATAATTTAATTCACAATTCTTAGCAATACTGGTAAGACAAATGCCATTATTATTTTTAATAAATGCAATGACCAAAATGAAGGCTGTTGGATGTTCTTGTGAAGATACAGTACTCAGGTCAGAGTTTAAAGGTATCTTGTCTAATATCTAATATTATTTTTATATTAATATACAGTACAATGTGATTACAACCAAATCAATGTGGTATTTAAAAAAGAAGTTTCCTATAATCTTGGTCCTGGTTAAAGTCTTGAAGGGAGATTAAATATTTGGAGAAAGGTTTGTGTGAGGCTAACCTCTTGTAGAAGCATTACTTTATGATAAAAGATTTAAATAGAATAAGAAAACAATATTTTTTGTTTTGTTTTAGGTGTATTTTAAGTTGGCATGTCAGCGCATTTACAACCACTGAATTAATGTTAAGCAAAGCACGGGTAAGAGTGCTCAACTGCATAGGTCTATCTCCACATTTCTGCTGATCATGTGCTCATTATCCTAGACACAGCCAACAACTGGCACTTGGTTGATCTTCAACTCTGCCAAAATAATTTTTCTTTTGCAGTTAATGCCATAAATTGTCAATGACCAAGTAATTTCTAGAAAATAGTCAAACACCAGTGATCAGAAGTTTATCTAAAAAATAATTAACAAAACATTTGCAAAAACTGAACAAGTATGGTACTTTATATAAAAAGACGAATGGAATGTGTTAAACAAATTAGATATAAAGTCTAAATTACTATCACATAACTAACCATCACAGTTCTAAAACACAACAAAAATACATTTTGACATTTATATAGTAAAACGTGTTCTTTGGCATTAGCTTCACCCTCAAATGCTTGCAGGGAAATGTTAGAAATGACATGAATAATGGTTTGGTTAAAGAATATCTTAAAATAGCAGATACCCAGAATACAAAAAATAAATAAGACAAAAAACCTGCAATCATCTGATGCATGTGAACTTGATCATGAGGTATAAATACTTCAATAAATATATTTTCTATTTACACTTTCGTAAACCAGTCACATCCTCAAAAATAATATCTACAAAATGGTAAAAAATCACCAAAATGGACCTAATGGAGCTTTCTTATTTGCAAACAAAATTATTTGTTTTTATTAATTGTAACACCGCTATTTGTGAATTACTCATGGGAGGATTTGACTAGTTTTGACATTCATAGAATTTTCTCAAAATACAAACTACTTTTTTTAATAATTTATATTCAACTTCAGATCTTAAATCTACATTATCTGTCTTTATTGGCATCCAAATGAAGACAGCACTATCATTTTCCTCATCATACAAACTTTTTCCATTTGTGGAAGTCAACCTCTTCCCATGTTCACAATTTGATGCACAACATTGGACAAGCTACAGCAGCTCTGAAACTTGATTTGCTTAAAGATGAATAAAATGACACTCCATAAGAAGCTAGAACTCCAGCACAGTTAAGATGTTACATAAAAGCCATTCATTTGATGAAGTATTCCATTTTCTATCATCTTTATTACGTGAACTCGGAGATATCTAACCATACTGCAAAGGGATTGCTTTTACACACATTAAAAAGATTTACTAGGGTATATTGTGCTTCCATCCCCTGTAACGCTGCCCAAGAAATAATGAAAATTAGGAGTGACACCAGTTATACATAGTATGGCATTTTCTACTTATACAGTAATGTATTATTGTCTACGACTTCTAGATCAGAAGCTTACAACACATTGCCAGCAGTTAAATGTCTGCTATCTATAAATTATAATGCTATGTAGGTTCACATTATGATCAGCCTACACAAAATAATTGCTTGCATTACCACTGAATAAGGCAATAATGAAAAAAAAGCATGCCTGTGACATTTGTTTAATATATTATTTGTATAGCACATATTCAAAATTGGTAGAATAAAGTTATTACTCCTCCATTGAAATATTTGACATATTAATAGCACAAGATCGATCTCAGCATGGTAGTAGATATATAATACATTTTATAAGTCCAGTATCACAATATTTGGAAATCGTATGGCTGCTTAATCATAGAAGTAACCTCTTATAGGATTAAAGTGATACAATATTTCCCATACAACTATGAGACTTTCATGCCGTGTTAATTTCTGTATATCTAAATTTAAAATCAAAACAAAAAAATTATCAACCCGAGTTCTCATTTACAAATTCCTAAATAAGTTTCAGAACCTAAGTATTGTGTAGCAACAATAAAATAAAACTTTATATTTACAAAATTGATCTTGAACTAAGCTTGACCCAATAAGTAACAATACCATAACTCAATTCTGGATGTACATACTTGTTAAATTTAATCATTAAAGGTTATGCAGGGCAACTGATTAGGCACAAATCAAAATCAGAGGTGAGAATCATGTTTCGGTGTTGGAAGGTTGATAGGAGAATGTAGTTGGTAGCTGGCTGGTGGCTCTGGGTTGATGTTGGTCTGGTGCAAATGTGCTTCGGTCTCGACCCATGTGATCACACTCAACCTCAGAACTGTTGGCATAGATAATGATTTAATATGTAAACTAGAAAAATACATCAAATAAACATTGCAAGTACAGTATAATAATGCTGTTATAACTGAAAAAAATCTTCACCCGGAGCTTCAGATCAACCGAATATCAGGAAAATCATTTTGCACACTCTTAAAGACAAAATGTCACATTAATAAAATATACCCAGTAAATTTAATTGTAAAAACTCTAATCTGTATGAAACATAAAAGCATATATTGCCAACTTTGAATCCAAATGAATGGTATAATGCAATAATCAATTTAATATGAATACTGTATCACAAACAACTAATAGTGGAACCTCGGTTGACGACTGTCCTAGAAGACAAATTTTTTGGAACACTACGTCAAATTTGTCTTAAAATTTGAATTGGTATACGATGGTTTACTTGGAAGACGACATCTGTCTGTACGCGTATGGGTCGAACGAGCTCGTGGTACTGGGGTCGCGGGGTGAAGCACTCAGTTTGTTTATAAGTCTATCGAACATAGTGACAAACATGGTCGTGCTTGAATTCTTTGTGAAGAATTTCATTGTTTGCCTGCATTTTTGCTTTTTTAACATAAAAGTTCTTATTATATATATCACACCATGGGTCACAAGAAAGTTAGTGGTAAAGTTCAACCTAAAAAAAATAGTTGAGACGATTGAGTAAAAACAAGAGATCATTCTTAGTGAATGAATGTGATGTCTCACTACAGAAGTGTTAAAACGTACAGGAAAAACAAGTGTCTTTTAAACAGTCTTAGTAAGACAAGCAAGCAGTGAGCCACAACCAGGTCTTAGTTGTATGCCCGCAAAACGAAGAAAGAGTACCCCAGAAATGTCATCACTGCTGTTATAATGGAAGGGGACACTAACACCTCTCCTCACTGTCTTCCATATGTCAACAAGAGTCCTCATTGAAGGCAAGATATACATACAGTACTTTATTGTAGCTAGTACAAAATGAGTGTTATTCGGTATAAAATGTATTTTTAAGTTAATCCGTTCCACACCCCCAAAAATATTAATTCAATTTACATTATTTCTTGTGGGAAAATTTGTTTTGGTTGACGACGCGTCTGGGAACGGATTATAATCGTAAACAAAGGTACCACTGTATAGCCAATGTGTAACAAAATTTGGAAGATCTAATATGCTGATTATTTAAAACTGGGAGGAAAAACTAGAAAATACACAATCATTACCTAGTGTAGCACAGAAGAAAAGAATTATCTTTCGCACCTGAACCAACTTGATACTATTTCCACATTTTCAATTAAGCTTTTAAATGCTATTACTATCATTATTACTAGCAGTTTTTTCCTGCCATTAATTCAAATTTGTAGTTTTGTGGGGTAATATTACTATCACTGGCAGAATCCAACTATTTATAGAAGTGCATGTAACATGCAAGTTTGCATGCTTTACGGATTCAAAAATGTGGAAATTGCTCACCACTGGAAGGGTTAAGTGAAGTACACAAACATGCTCATATAGCAATACAATCTTGAATATTTTTCAGTGTTCATCAGTTTTGGGATAAAAATTGAAGTTTAATACCCAAAATCAGATGGAATTATTTTTAAAAGTATGATGAGGGTGGTGTGAAAGTCGGATACACTAGGGGAAGTAGTAATGAGGGAGGGAGGGACATACGGGAAGGAAGGTAAGGTAAGGTATCAGGTGACATACTAAGCCAGTATGACTCTAGCAATTGGTAGGGAGAGGTGGTTAAGGATTTGATATAGGACGAAGAGAAGGAATGGCACTGAGCCATTTACAGTCAGAGATTGAAAGCTGAACTGCAAGGAGCGAGACTGTTGCTCTGTCATCTAGTCAAAGTGGTTGGGCAAAGGGTGGAAGTGGAGAGTAGTAAAAGGGATGCACCAAAGGAGCAATGTATTGTAAGACAATGCATGAAGGGAGGAAGTAGTAGAGACCAGTGGGGAAGAGAGATGCACCAGAAAAATGGTGATTATTTATGGGAAGCTATCACCAGAAAATCATGGTAATACGTCAGACCAATCCTGGAGTATGTCGCTCCAGCATAGTCCACACCTAGTCAAGCACAAGACAGCTACAGAAGGTTCAAAGGTATACCACCAGATTTTTGCCAGAACTACAAGGTATGAATTATGAGGAAAGGCTACATTAATTGAACCTCATGTCACTGGAAGACAGAAGAACTAGGGGAGACATAATTACCACATACAAAATTTTCAGGTGAATTGATAGGGTAGATATAGACACTATTAACACAGGTTGTACTTGCACAAGGGAGAGGAAGAGTGGAAACAATAAAAAACAATGAATACCCAATTGAGCAAAAGACATTAAAATTCATCTTTTCAGTGTCAGTAGTTAAATGGAATGCACTAGGAAGTTATGTGGTGGAGGTAGACTCTACCACATAACTACACAGTTTCAAATGTAGATATGATAGGGCTCGGAAACCTGTATACCAGACTGACAGTTGAGAGGCAGGACCAAATGGCAGTGCTCAAACCCCGCAAACACAATGGAGAAAACTTGGGGATTAACAGCCAAACTTCAAATTTGAAATTATATATATTATTCAGGAAGAACAAAAACAAAAAATGAAAAGGCATTAAGCAGAATAATGCAGGTAAAAACTAGAGGCAACTAGGGGGTTGAGATCTGTGAAATCAGGGTTAGGTGACACAGGTAAATTAAGCAATGAAGAACGGTCTGGGAGGGGCAGGTAAAGCTGCCAAGCTGACAGATCTAGTTAGGTTAGAAAGTGGAGGTAGGGAAGACTGGTAAGTTGGGCTGTTTTGGAACAAAGATATTGTCGAACTCCAAAATGTGGGCTAGGTATGATGGATAGGACAGACCAAGACCTTTTTTCTATCTCTCTCTCTCTTTCTCTCTTGTGGAGAAAAAGGAGGAGGGATTTGACTTATACTTCTGGCTGAAGATTTAAACAGGGTGAAGAGTAAACAATGGTCACAATATAGTTAGCCATGTCAGTAATAGTCTCAGCTGGAGACAAATGTTGGGGTTGGGGCAACAGTGAAGAACATAAGCTGTAACAATATGGGCACTGTAGAAGGGTCAAAAGGCAGAGGGAAAGTGGAGATGGATCCAGGTATAAATAGCTAGGAGGTGGGGTATAAGAGGTAGATCTCACTCCCCCAATCACTAATAGGTAAGCACCTAAGCACTTTCTAGTCTATTTGCTAGGTGAAGAGTTCTGTATGTGCCTCTTCTGGTTATTTTTGCATACCTGCCCTACCTTCTTTACCAGTATAAGTGACCTGGACACTCTTACTATTACAGCAGTCCTAGGTTACCTTGTATCTGTACTTGGAATGTCTAGGTGCCATTGCTATCCCTGTTATGTGGGTGTGCTAATTCCATTATTAATGCCTGTTAAATTTTATGGTCTTGCTAGTAACGTGTCCATGGGCTAGTAATAGTATCTATTGTTTTGTATTAAAACTCCACTATACTCTTCACTAGACTTACCTTTCAGTTACTATTACCTAAGTGTAGTTACAGGGTGAGAGCAACGCTCGTGGTGTCCCATCTTCCCAGTACTGTCATATAACAAGTACTGGGAAAATGGAACACACGAGCGTAGTTCTCATCTTGTAACTACACTTAGGAACATTTAGTATAGCACAGTAATTACCTATTTTTAAGGTAATTTTCAAACATTCATACATAGCTTACATTCATAACCTACCCTGTTCTCACATTCATACCTAACTTACCCTATTTTCATATCCACACACAACCTGCTCAGATATCAATATAGCCATTGCACAACAAAGTTTATAACATATTAGTTACTGATACATCCTATGAGATTGAAATCACTTGACCATAGCAAAGATACCTTATCTCTGTAAGTGTGTAAACTAGAGGGGCCCATGCATTCGGACTAACATGCAATTACACTTATATAATGAATACTTACTACATGTACCTGCTGGCATGGAAAGGGAACACATTAAAGATGTATTAGATATAACACTCAATGAAAATTCCATAATAAACTTGCTCTTTATTGGAATTTCTTAAAATTGCAAAGAGTATGTACATTTAATCAAAATATAATAGCTTTAGTTGAACAGAATACATATTACATCTATGATATAAAAAACATGGTAATGCTATTGATGAAAAACTATTTCAACATCACACTGATTTTATCAGTGATTGATTCACTGAGCTGATTTTAAGGCAAATTAAATTTGCAGTCATCAAAGGAATGATTATTTTTTAAGCGTAAAACCTTGTATGTCAAGGATTTTTGGTTATACAACAGGAGATACCAGTACATTAATATATGGAAAATAGAAGAACTATATTTCTGCATGCACACATGCATATGCACACACACACATGCACACAAGTGATCAAATGCAAACATGGTTGTACACACGCACACAGACAAACTTTAGAATCCTGGAGAAAACCTTTGTAACACTACAACCTATATAAAACCAACTCTGAGTATACAGCACCGGTGTGTAGGCCACAATTGAAAAGCATAAAAAACAGAAATGGTACAATGATATGTGAGCAGACTTGTCTAAGACCTGAAGGGACTTACACTTACCACGTTGGAGGAAAGTCAAAGCAAGGGACGTGTGAAAACGATGTACAAGTCACTAGGAGGAATTAATTGGATGAGCAGGGGCAAATGTTCAAAATAAGAGATGGCAGAACCTAATGTTAAAGGTGAAAACTGGAGCCAAATTAGCACATACACATAAGGGGAAAACTTCTTTAGTGTAATATTAGCACAAATGTGGAACAGGCTACAAGTGGGAACATAGAGGGACTTTCAACAAGTAGCTTTAAAAGGAAGTAAAACCAGGAACACTAGGAGATCCAAAGGTGTGCCTAGGAAGATAATGCCCAACTCTGTAATCACATCCACTTAGGTGTGTACACTGGAGGAAGGTATAAAAAAGTTGGGAAAAATAAGTCTATGCTTAAATGTTGCATATGTCAACATATTAAGAAATAGCCCATCACTCCTGGACCTGGTGTTTACTAGAAAAGAATAAGACCAAATCTAACATGTGCCCTCTGTGGCTGGTAAGCAAAAATGACCCTCTGATTATGAAAATTAGGCACGTAAAAATATTTGATGAGAAGAAGCAGAATTGCACAAGGAAATTAAACAATCTTTGAAGAGAGAATTAGTGTATCGAGCTGAAAAAATAAAATGTGGTGACTAGTTTTAAGTATGAGCATGAGGGAAGTGGTGTGGAAAATGGATGGATATATCTGCAAGGTTATATACACACAATTCCTATTGTAAAATAGTTTACAAAAAGGTCTGGTTCAATGAGGTGTTAGAAAGCAAAGAAAATAAATATGGTAGTAAACAGGAACCCCTTGTACTAATGTCATATGGCTGCATGCCGTTTTATTTATAGGCAGCTAAGGGAAACAATCGAGGCTATCTACTTTGTGACTACCTTGTGGTAGTTCTGGTGCTTGCATTTTAGTCTGACAGACTCCGAGCCTGACTGGCTCTGTTGATTATGCACGCACCCTTTTTTTGTCAATATATTTATGCACAGTGAAATCACATTAATGTGGTATATAAAGAGAACATCAGTAGGAGCCATGAGGAGGATTCGAACTTGCACAATGAATACTCCAAAGTGCACACCTTAAACCACTACAACACATGGTCAAAAGCAGTGCAACCTGGGATTCAACTGAATCCTCTAGGAGTCCTGAGGCTTGTGTTCTAGGGCATGTTTCTGAGAGTACCAAGTGTGCGAGTTCAAATCCTCCTCATGGCTCCTACTGATTTTCTCATTGATAAATCACATTATGATTTTGTTGTGTATTTGAAGAAAAGCATTAGTGGTAGAACGCCTGGATCACAGCCAGAGTTCATGGAAGGCAGTGTGTGAAGTTTCAGTGGAAGCCTTAAGACTCCTAGAGGATTCAGTCAAATTTCAGATTGCACTGCTTTTGACCACATGGTGTAGTGGTCTAAGGTGTGTGCTTGGGAGTACCAAGCATCAAATCATCCTCATGATGCCTACTGATTTTCTCAATGTATTTATCAAGTTCTCTCTCAAGACAATAGTGTTCGTTGGTAATGTGCCTTATATTTAGAAGGGTTTTGAAAGGTTTTGGCCCCTGTATATTCTTAGTACAGTACAGTTATTGCACCACTGCTTTTCAGTGGGATTATTTTGGATATTCTGAAATACCTCCTGGTCTCTTAGATAAAATATTTAGTTGTAGATTATAGGCCAGTCTCTCTAATACTTTCCAAGTTGTTATGATGCATGTCATCCTTGCATTCCTTGGAATATTTTAGGCATATTATTGAATACAGTATATTCAGGCAAAACTACATGTTTTCTGCACATTCTGCAGAAAGGAGCAGTTATTGTGCCACAATATTCCTCCCAAGTAATTGTATTTAGTGTCATCATTGGCTTGACAAATCTTATTGTTCTTACAGTTAAGACATATGTTACTTTTTTGTATTCTTTAAACAAAGTATCATCTGACATGACAATTATGCAACATCAGGTTAATTATTTAATTTGAAACACTATCTTGGTAAGTCTTCTTGGAAACATTTAATTACAAAAATGGGTTGTGTGTGTGTCTGGGGTGGTGATTGTCAGGTGTCATTTATAAATGTGTTTATAAGTACTGTACATGCAATGGCAGTATGGTAAATGCTTCATGTAACTAACAATATGGGACTATGCCCACCTCATAACTTACAACACAAAGTATAATGTAATGATACTAAATTGGTTTTCACTATATAATTTTAGGACATGCAAAGTATTTTTCTTTGTGCAAATGATAGTGTAATCACTGCAGATCCTGATAATTAAACAAAATATAATAGTATACAGTAGTATTGTATACTTCACAGTACAGTAAGCTGTGTACCCTTGTCACTCTCTTAAATACAAGACAAAGTACTGTGCAGCATATACGGTACTGTACAGGCAGAAAATGCATTGGTGGAAGTATTTAATTCACATCCAGATAAAAAAAAAATATAGTGAGAAATAAAAAGTTTATTCATATCAAAACATGAAATACTTTATCTTTATAATCTGTGAGGAGGGATAAAGGCACATTTGGTCACTGAACATGTGCACCGAGTTGAATGAAACATTGCCGATCGGCTAGTCATACCTGCATTGTGAATGCATATTTGTTTAACCTACCTAGGCTAACCATACCAGCCCCATCTTCAGCATAAATATTTTGACTCTGTCTAGGCTATTTTAATTAAATATAAAGGCAAATATAAAAAATAGTTAATGCATATCAAATCAAGAAATACTTAGGTAAGCTTGCATGGTGTGCGTGTAACAATGACACCCATATATCAGACTAACCATACCTGCATCAAGTGTGGTATACTGACCTCAGGGTTCTCATTTTCTACAAACTTTCAGAGTTAAGAAACGATAATTAAATCCAACACATTGCTTATTCAGGAATCATTAAACCAAACGTATTCAAAACTGGGTATAATGTATCATTATTATAAAAAATATTACAGGCTTAAAACAGCCCATGTTTATAAAATAAATTTAAGAGAAATAATATATTATTAATTTTAGGGGCAACTTTGTGGCTGGATAGTAATAATTAATGTGTTCATCAGGATGTACAGTACTGTACTTGTCTCGGAAACTTGCTTCAATACACAGTACAGTACTGCAAAAATGCCATATGTGAGATGTTTTTTACATGTTAACAAAACTTTTAATAAATAATAAATAAAGTAATTTAATAAAATAATTAATTTTGTAATTGACCTCAAACTGAGACATGGATCAAATTATCCAAACAAGAGTCGTAGGTAGAATCACGGGTCCAGAAATATTGGATAATAGAAAAATGGAACAACTTGCTCCTTTCAGCTGGTGATACAAAGAGGAACTCTTTGTATCACCAGCTGAAATGTTGTATGTATACAACATTTATGTTGTATACATACAACATAAATGTGTATGTTGTTACCATAAAGGTATATAGTGCACTAGACCTTTCTTTACTCAATACTTTAAATGATGAAACACCACAAACATCCAGTGAAGAAGTGATATAAGATTATTCTATTAACTATATAAAATATTACTATTTAAATATACTCATAATTCCCAAAACTATATACTCATAGCTACTGTAATAATAACAGACTATAATATTCATACTAGAGAGAGAACTCTATGCATGACTTTATAACTGAACTGAAAAAACATGACTTAATAAAAACTGAAGGTGTGAAGATGTTAGGAGTGTCCTAACGCATCTAACAAGGCACAAATGCAGTCATTAAAATTCATCTAAGTTTTAAGGATTTTACAACCAATAATATCAGACAATTTTTCACAAATGAATATGGCAGTCAATATCCTGAACTTTTGGTAGATATTGTTGATTGACGCTTGGTTAATACAGTATGGAACATCTTCGTTTCAGTTGAGTAAATACTAAAATAAAGATACACATTGGTGCAAGTAAACTTTGAATGAAAAAGGTGTCCTGGCAAATACAAGTTCTCGAAACAATAATGATATAAAATTATCATAAAGGCTAATTCACTGACCCTGCACATGAATCTTCCCTCAGACTTCTACTACTAATACTGATATACTGTACTTCATTAAATTATGAAAATTTGCACAAGTGAAAAATATTTTTAATCTCACAACTAATTCAATGAATTCTGCAATTTCTCCCTAATATATTTAAGGATTCAAACTTACAACTATTAGCACCTAATGATTATAACCCAGGAGGAACATATTTATGACTAATCTCCTCTCTTGCCTCCCAACAACAATAAATTTCATTATTAATACAGTACTTTCACTAAAACACACACAGCATGTAATAACTAGTATTTTAATACATATAAAACAATATTACTAAAATAATATACAGTATTTTAAAACATTTCTCAATGCAAAATCTGCCGAGTCAATAAAGTACATATAGTTTGTACAGTCGTTAGGTCCATAACCACTCTGACGACCAAGTTAATTCAACTATTGATTGCTAAGGAACAAACAATGTCAGTACTGAACTTTCCTCTCCTTTCATATGTCAAATGAGCTAAATCTCTAATACTTACTAATTTGAGACATTCACATGCAATACTTTCATCACCTTAAATTATAATAGGTACTGTACTGAAATGGGGAACTGTTATTTTTAATTTATTCAGTGTAAAAACCTAGTCAATAAGGAGTACTATTTTGGGATTTTATCAACAAAGTTGGAAAAAGACTTTAAATCAAGCACTTCAGTACACAAAAAGATATTGTCTTATGATTTTCTACACAACAATGAAAATTACGGTACTGCAGCATTTCAAAGCAAGGTGGGAATGTTTAAGCAGCAGCAGCAAGAAAACCATCATTTTGATCTTGAAATATTTTTTACCAGATTCTTTGTTATAATTGTATGAATTTTATTTTAATTTTAATATTTATTATGAATGTATCTGTTTACAGGTAGTGAAAGACCAATATTTATTTCGTTATATAAGCATTATTAATCACTAAAATATTGGAAGACCAATATTTATTTCGTTATATAAGCATTATTAATCACTAAAAAAATACTAAGTCAGTGAATTAATTTGTATATAGTCAAACAAATTCTGGGTAGAGATTTTAAAACAAAATATACAGTATACATATATCAAGATCCAAGTGATGTCTGCCAAGAGTGTCTAGTTTATATATTATATGGTAGTTCATATTCTGAGAACAAAATGAAGCAAGTGTAGGTTAGGATACGTGGCAGGCAGCGTGACCAGCAACAAGACAGAGCAGAGTGTGAGGGAACCAAGCACAACATCAACACAAGATGGACACTTTACCTTGCCCAGCCGGAAGCTTGTGAGTGAGATGGTACGATCAGATATGGCTGAGCCACAGTTTAAGGCAACAGAGCAATATTTTAATGCAGATGATTGTAATGTAATTTTTAGTTGATGAACATTTAAACCAATAAGAGCAACATAGATATCCAGTGTTTACGATCCCTCTGGGTAAGGCACTACATCTCGTCAATTGGAAATATTAATCTCATGCCTTATTCAATACGGAAAATATTTTTGCTTTTAACAGTGATTACCCACATTACCAAAGGTGTTTAATCATTTAGTAAAACGAATATAAAATATTTTTAAATGTAACTAAAACTATATGGTAATAATGTATAACCAGGCTGCAAGCCTAATGTCATGTTAAATCACTCGGTAAACTTAAAGGAAGCATTATATGTACCTCGGTACTCTCTTACAAGTAATTAAAATATAAAATACTATTCTAAAAATAAATGAATAAAATCTCACACACACACACACACACACACAGTAGAACCTTGATGTACTGCATGACAATTTATAGCAATTTAGGCACAAGTCAACATTCTGAGGTAGTTTTCACAGAAAATGTTGCATACAAATTACCTGTAGTATTGTAAACAAGAGCTGAAAATTGGATACTAAAGCAAAACAAAGCACCAAGAGGATTGAAATGCTCCTTTTGAGCTGTCCCTTGGTTGCTCCTCTAGCAAGGGCCAGGTCCACCCTCAGGACACTGCCCACATGCCAACCTCTTGTTAACTTTCAGCCTATAAACTCGGTCCTCAATTCCCAGCACCTTGTCCTCATATCATTTTAAGTGCTGTAGTCATATTGGTCTAACACTTTCTCCTCATAATTACCTAACCTTCAGTACAATTGGGACAAAGAATTTGTAGCATGGTCATACTAAATACGGTACAGCAGTTGACAGTACTGTTTACTAGGACAGCACTGTCCCAGCCCCAGTGAAGAGACAGTGAAGAGTACTGTTCCAGTATTCCTAGTCATATTTTTGCAAAATATTTATTATTATAATTATTATATTCTATATGACTCCCATTAAGTATATGCATAAATTAACATTTTGAAAATTATAATGCACAGCAAAAATCACTCGTCACTAGAAAAAAGTACCGCACTGCAAGATTAGGCGGTTGTCTTACATGGACACTGTTGAGAGCCCCTCCTTGAATCACTATAAAAAATTATTGATATGTATATGTATTTATGTACATGTACATATATGTATGTGTATACAGTATAACATTAATAAATGTTTAACTAGCTTTACAAAGATTGTCACTTGCTTAGCTAAACGGATTATTGGGGAGTCGGTTCCTGAACCCATTATGTACCTCTGTAACCCTTTCCACCATTGCCATCTATGGGATGGGTATGGGGTGCATAATAAATAAATGAAATGAATGAAAAGGAGAAAGATTACTGCAGATGAAATCAGATAGGCCAGAATGGTAATGACTGTTTACATTTATAATTCCACTTACACCCAGTACTGTATACATACATCATACGTTATTTTTGCAGGTTTTTCAATAAGTATATATGGGATATAAACTATTTACTTTCTAGAAAACTCTACTATCAAGTGCAATTACCTCTTGTTAAACCAGCACTCACAATGTGTCTCATTTTTCCCATCCACACTCATGGTTTATTTCTCAGATGCATCATTGCTCTTCTTATCCATTACTTTGCAATGTAATGTAATCTTTTCCATTCAAGTAATGTAATCAAATTTAATCTCTCAGTTGCATCCTGTATGTAAGTATGTCTGCAATCTCCATTACTGCATCTTTAATACTGTAATTTTTTATAATATTCCTTGAGTGAGTTTACTTTAAAACAGAGTTTTAAACAGCATTAAACAAGAGTTTTTCTGTTTAATGATGCCGGGAGGCAAGGGATAATATTCAATTGTAGCCAGGACAGGTTATGGGGAGGTGTAACGCTTTGAGCTGCAGCCTTAAATGTCAGCAAGTCCTATTCGTTTATTTAGTGCCACCATTTCTAATTACAATTAGTGTTACTATTGTAAATGCTACTCACAGACCCTTCTATTTTCACATAGAGTGCTCTATGAGTAGATCCAGCATGAGTGTACTGATTTTTTGGCAAGGCTATAACAGTTTTCCATAGTGCTTTATTGCTTGTCTAGTATTTGCTTGTGTAAATCCATGCTCCTATTACAAGGGGAGTAAAGGACAGTAAGGTAACTTTCATCAACCAGAAGTGTGTTACAAGGGTGTGAGGAATAGTTATAATAATCAGTTATTGTTAATTCTCATTCACCTATTCAGTGGGCCTGGTAAGGCTGCCACCATGTTGCTAATAAAACAGGACATTTTGTGATATTTCACTGGGGATGGGCCATCAGCAGCCAGGTTGTCGACTCGTATTCCAACTAGTTACCATGGGAGAGCCCCGTCCACTATTTTAGGATGAGCTGACATGCGAGTAAATATGTGTACTGTATTTAAATTTACCCTATACTATATATATATTTAACCCTGTTACATTCAAGTGCCACAATTTTCTAACATGACATGAGAGTGGAGATATGAGATATGACTTGATATGAGTTGACATGGCTTCAGGGACTAGTGACACAAGTTAACACGAGTGAGTGGTCTGACATAGGAGTAGTGTCTGAGTAAGTTTCTTTACATAAGAATGGAGAAAATGGGTGGAGGAGTAATTACCAAAGTGTAGTTACAGGATGAGAGCTATGTATATGCTCTCATCCTGTGGCTATGTGGTGTTCCATTTTCCCAGCAATCTTTGTCATATAACACATATCAAATTATTATTACTGTTGATTATGTTCATTACAGTACTAGAAATAGAATTAGTATTCTAGATAATATAATATTGTCATTGCAGTAAATGTTTTGCTTAATAGGTTCCACTGTATGCATGCATAAATTGGTGAATGCATCAGGTATGTGTAAAACAGCAGTGAATGAAATTAAAATATAATCAAAAGCCACAGCCAATGAGAGAAATGATAATACTATTATCAATACTATTTTTTTCAGTGCAGTCTTTGAAGAAAGTAACTATTGCTTGTTTGTATGAAGCCAATCATCCCCGTCAGCCAAAACTAACCTAATTTTAAAATCATTTATTTCTTTTTCACAAAAAGTATATATTAAAACTCACCTAACAGTTGGTCCGAGTCCATCGTCAATAGAAGCTGCCCGCGAGAGGCTTGAGCCTGTTAACGTTGGGCGAGCTGAGCGATCTGTTTGAGTAGCTGCGTTAACAGTGTTTTGTGAATCTTTAATTTCCTGAGAGGTACAAGTTGGGTGCTGATTTCCTATACTCTGTGCAAGCTGCTGTTGTAGAAGTCTAATGGTTCGATCACGTTCATCCAGTTGCTGCTGTAAGAGCACCACCTGGAAAGCAATACAACAGAATTACTGCTTGTGCCAACCAATTATAGAAGAGCTGAAGGGACCCAACCTGTCTGGCCACAATATTTACCAAGCCAAATATTTAACTTTTAAGTTGATAATTCATTTTGTTGGGGGGACAGGCAGCCTGTGTATGAGTCCCACCAGATGATTGAAATTTAGAACATGTTATAAATGAAGTCCTGTATTTCCAATCCACCCAAGAGGTAAACAATTTGGTGAATGTAGTAGCATGATCATAGTATCTGATAACATTATGGCAAATGTTTAGATATTTATTTGATAAAAAATAAAGTTTTTTGTATTAATTTCAATCGGGCAATGGTTTTGCTTCTAGCAGATCAGTGTTCAATCCCTGATTCTCCAAGTTATTATACACCATGCCTTTCCTCTGTCCTATTTTAAATCCTTATATACTCATCCTTTCCAAGTGCTATATTATACAGTTCTAATGGCTTAGCACTTTCTCCTGATAATGAATTTACCTTCTTTTGAGCTGCCTCAGGGACTGGTTTACATGTCATATAAGTGTATACATTACATTGTAAACCTATATACAGTACTCCATTGCTGTTTTTGTCAATTGTGTGAACATAAATCAAATTATCAACACAAAAAAATGCACTATCTAAACTTATTAGCAAAGTCATGAATATAAATAATATCCAATTTGATCATAAAGTCATTATTCCTACACCACAAGTCCACAAACTGTGTAAAGTCGTCTAATGTTGACACACTCACAAGTGCTTTAGCATCACTGGACCAATTAGGGATAATTATGGATGATGATAAAATGTATCATCATTATTATTTGCACTAAAAACACAATAATTGTTGCCAAAACAAAAAAAAAGCATAATCACTGAAATTTTAATGTACGGTACTTGGATGGTGAGAAGCCTTCCAATTAAGAATTCACTGTACAGTGCTGAATAGCAAATAGAAAATCAGAAAGCAATGAGGAATAAATTTGGCTATAGAAAAAAAATTCTGCATGAAACCTTACATGATAAATAAAGAAATATAATCTAAGAGACAGTACACAGGCTTTAAAATTGTATTCTAGAAAAAAAGCATCTGGCAGGTAAGTCTATATAGAATGCAAGAGAGGAACACACCTGTCTTCTAAGGTCAACATTTTCTTGGGATACTTCTGTCACTGACGGGGTGATTAAATCTTTGTCCCCGTTGATGCCAGTCCCTCCTGGCAGGTCACTGCTGGCCAGGCTCAGGTACAGTGAGTTCTGAAACACAAACTGCAATATGAATGTGCTTATATTGTAAAGCAAATATTTCTCAATTACAAATCACTAAAATATTCTAATACTGTTTACAAGAAAATCTCAACCTTGATTTACATATTTACAAAGTTTACTCAGTAATTTAACTATCCATTAACCTTAGTTGAGTAAACTTTGTAGATATGTAAACCAATATTGAAATTTTCTTCTAAACAGTAACAGAATATTTTCAATGATTTCTATTAAGAGAAATTAATATACTCATTATCTTTATACTGTATTTGTACAAAAGAAAACGTAAACTCTGTTCAGTACTGTGATCCTTTGATCTCCTCCTTTGATCCTCCTCCTTTAATCTACAGAGCTAAGAATTGACGATGGAGGCAAACTTTTATAATCAGACTGGAATATGCTGCCCACTTCATAGCAAAATATAATACACTATTATAATCTGCTCTGGACTCAATTTCCACAATCCCATCGCCCTATCTGTGTCCTTATCATCTGTGAGAGGATGAATTTTCCACATAATATTTGACAATAGAGATCTCAAGCATTTATTTGCCATACGGGAAAAATCCAGAAAGCCTTAGTTTCCTTCCTGGGCCTTAGTAAAATGATGGGCACCATGTCTAGGTCACCACCTTCTATTTACCGACGCCCATGCTATGAACCACTGACACCATGAAAAATTGCAAGGGTTTATATGGCCCTAGATCTTAGTGATGAGGAGGAATCCTCCTCACCTTAATCATTACCATAATCCTCATCACCTCATTACCTTAATCATACAAAAAGTTTTCATGCAGATGAAAATTCTTAAATTTTAGGTATGTTTATGAAAACTACCAAGCACTTCCCTTGAAATACAAATAAACAACAACTTTAAAGATTTGTTTAAACATTGAATAACGTTAATTTACCCAATATTTATTATTCCAAATGTTACTAACATTAAATTTAAAACACAATAAAATTAAACTCCACTTACCCTCAAATTGGCATCAAATGGGTTAATGGTTTCTGCTGCTTGTAGAACTCTTCTGAGACGCAATAACATTGTCTTAAGGGCAGTAACATCCTGGCACATATAATGGTACGAAGTACGATCAATACACACACCACCACCTTCCACCTCTGACACACCACCCTAAAAAAAAAAAAGAGGTACAAAAATTAGTACATTATAAAAGACCAGCAACTATATTTCTAATGACTAATTAAACTTTTCCTAAATTTTTCATGAGTGCAGTTAAGCATTACATTATCTATACTGTATACAGTACTGTATAACTAAAATTTCTGACTGTATTATACAATGGTCTCTTTAAGAGTTGATAGTTGTACCACTGGACTAAGAATTGGTATTCATGTGCCAATTCCAATGCAACAACATTACAGTACTGTACATGTATTATTGTTTGGTGGTCCAGTTTAATGAAGCTAGCATTACCTGACGAGGGGGTCTGAGCACCGTGGGTCTTCTGGGATCAGGAGATGATATTTCTGATGCACTGCCCACTCTAGGACGAGATGCCCGCCCTCCACAACTGCTGCCATCTCTCGATACACATCTGAAGAAAGTAATGAGGAATTTTTACACATTCTTTTGTGGTAAACATTCAATGTTTACATTTATTGTTAATTACTGAATATTATTACAACATTTTTTTTAATATAAATCATTTAAATGTGGCTATTAATTTCCAAATTCAGTAAACAACTTGTATTAATAGAAGTCAACTTATAAACCAATTTGTCTTATTAAGACAATGGTATAATGGATGAAATATAAAAATTGCAGCAAAGATCTCAAGAACTTGAAATCCTGACTCGCCTGCTAGTCAGGACACTACTTGACATAAGTAGCATTTCAATAGCAAAACATGTCACTTGTGAAAAGCACTATTCAGCACAACAAATCTAGGTAATAAATTCACAGGAAAAAGACATACACATTATATACGTGTGTGAATATCACGAAAATAAACACGTGATTAAAATATATGCGTGATATATGTACATATATATATTGATTGACAGCCTAAGCTAATTTGCCGGTTGTTATGGGCTAGCCAGGATACGTCCCTATTTATTAAAAATTATGACTGTTGAAACCCTCCATGTTTCTAGGAAAAGTTTAGATTTATTAAACAAGCTTCAACCATTATTTTAATGATGCAATATACAGTATATAAAATGTCTTGTTGAATCTGTAAATTTTTGTATTCTTGTTTACCAAACCTCAGTGTTATATTCACTGCAGCTTAAATATGCTAATACTGTAGATTTATAATTACCATATAAATATTTTTTCAATGGGATAGTCTCCCCTTCCCTAGCGAAATCGAAATGAAAAGGTTATTAAGGATAAATTTCTTGCTATTTACCAGCCAACTTTATTTCAGTGGGTCGGCGTTCTCCGAATCTTGTGCCTGATGTTACTGGAAAAATAATCTGTGAGCGGGTTATCATCACCACCATGAAACCTCTTAACGTGGGCAGAGAAAGAGCTATCGCGGAAGAGGTCAGAGAGTACATTAGTGCCAGTGCACCACAACGTTTATCACCCCTCCCCTTCTGAACCCACCTACCCATATAGTTTCCAAGCTGGCGCCAAATTATGTATATCTGTGAAGCCTTGCATGCAACCAGTGCGAGACAGAGACATCAAGGACTATGAACAAGTGTTGACAACACTGTGGGTGAGAAGTGAGGGTCAGCTTCGCCAGCACGCGCTCAGGGCCTCCACTCACCCGGCACGTGTGCACACGCACGCCCTCATCCTCCCTCAACCACCCACACTTCTTTTTTGTTTACTTCTAATACAAAAAGTGACTCAGAAATTCTGGGATTAACTTCAAAGCGGAAGCAATAAGATCTGTCATTAGAGGGGTGTGTTGAGCAGAGGGAAGCCTGGTATGACGGGACGCCAGGATCCTTGCTATGCTTACATCAGCACAATCCAGGGACACAAACCCACAGGGGCTCCGGTACACCCTTCCAAAATGATCTGGTAACTCCATCCATAGGGCCTCGGAATACAGACTGAGAGGCAACCATAAGGTTTATGACGGTGACAGAGCAGCAGGAGAGGAGTTAGGAATCTCACCAGACAGGTATGAGATACAGGGAAGTAGGCACAGGAAGAGAAATTAACAATGTGCTGCCCAGTATGACAACCTGCTCTGTACACGAGCATCATGACCGCACACTGGTGTTAAAGGTTGACAAGAAACTGAACAGTTCTAGACAGCAGTTCAGGGCTCCGTTAACCACCATTCAAGGTGCTCAAACAGCCAGTGCTGCTGCTGCTGCTCCTCAGCGTGTCTGCGAGTAGCCAGCAAAATGTGCAGCTTCAAATCGGACTTCCCTAAATTACTTCAGATTTAGAAGAACTAAGAAATGCCTTGAGATATGAAAGCTGCAGTATTAAAAGCTATGACAACTTTTGTAATAATAGATATTTGTATAGTCAGCACAATAGCTGGGCAAGGCAATGTCATTGCCCGAATTAACATTGGCTATAGGCACATCTAGCAGGCTGAGCCCACTACCAGAATATTCAGATTGTAAACTCTGTGACAAACCTTTAATACATTCACTAGAACACTATATTGTTGAATGTGAAACCGTAAAAGATTTTAGACCTCCTGGGTACCACCAACTGTGTAACTATTTCATTGAATCTGGTGTACTGGACGACATCCTAACAATTTATCCAAAATTTTCTTGCACATTTTAAAGAATGAAAAACAATCTTATTTATATTATTTTTAAGCTGCATCTCTTATGAACCCATCCCTGCCCTTGTGTGGCAGTGCACAATAGAAAGTTGTATTTACATATTCGTACACTGAAACGTGTACTGTATACAGTCTAATGTAATTGATTGTAATCATGACATATGTGCTTCAGCCTACAGTTTAGACCTATTATTTTGTGTATGACCCTCTGTCCTGTGTGACAGTGAATACCAGCATTATCCTCACTCTAATAAGACCTAATTGAATTACTCATCTTAGGCAAAATTGTAATTAAGTTTTCTCAATAAAGATGTAAATATAATGAAAACTGAACTTATTGCAAGGTGGAAAATCTTGTGAAATACAATCACCACAGTTGGGGATTGGTCCAGACATAATAGGAGCCACAAGACTAACGGCGCTCCCCTGAGGGTGTAGTGACTACATCCCAAAACTAACATTTTCACAGTTTTATTTAAAACCTTGGCTTGATCGTTATTTTAATAAATGTAAAAGTGCTTAACCATTACCTCTTAAGTTATTTCAGTTACTAGGCAGAAACAAATATTTTTGTGACAAGTGATGAACAAATAAACATCGTATAACGTTGCGCAAGGATGGTAAACTGTGTTGGAATACAACACAAGGTGCAAGTAATTGGAGGGTAGTAGTGGTTGAGGAGCACTCAAGTGCTGTAGTGAAGTGTGTGCTAGAACTTCCGGTGACCCCCAGCGTGGGCTGTCGGCGCCGACAGCGGTCTCACCCATGCCGCCGACACCATCCTCCGCTAACGGGCCCCACCACATATAATGCCCTACGTATATCGCAAATATATTCATGATTACCATTGCAGTTACTTCATATTAATATAGTAGTTCTTAACCACTAGAAGGCAAACAATGTTATATATAATGGGCCACACTGTGGGCCTGTCTGCCACCTTCATCAGCACTCCGCTCGTCTCACACCAACTGCCTTACATCTTGTCGACATTGTTTACAATATCTTGGGCATCATAACAACGTGGTTATTGATTATTAAAGCAGAATCCAACAAGCTTATACGAAAATAAATGCATATAACCAAAAACAATGAAATACAATCCCGACAAATAATTGTATTGTTACATACAAATTAACATCTAAATCAGAATTTCAATGTTTCAATTTCACCGACTTTATTACCCACATAGACCCAATGAAGCACTTCAACTATTGGGATCACCTAAAGCACTGAAATTGTACTCCCTGGAACGGAGACGAGCGATATCTCAATGAAAATATGGAAAGTTTTGAAAGGTCAGGTTCCAAACCCGAACAATAAAAATTATAACTTACTGGAGTGAGAGATATGATAGTAAGTGTAAGATAAATCCATAGGCACGATTAGAAAACACACTGTAACTTGCAGTTTACCTGGACTCTGTTCCAAGAGTTGTTTTATTCCAAATCCCGCCCTGGGTGGAGGCCAGGTTTGTCTTGCGATACCTTGATTTAAAAGCCTTGGGCTAGCAGTTACGCAAGCACTTACGAACCTGTACATCTTTCCTGAATCATTGGCGGCTTTGTTTACAATTATTAAATAGTTAATGAGGTCCGAAGCACTAGGAGGCTGTTTATAACAATAACAACAGTTGATTGGGAAGTTTTCACGCTTGTAAACTGTTTAATAAATGTAACCAAAGCTGTCAAAGATTGAGGCAAGATGTACATGTTCGTAAGTACTTGCATAACTTCTTCGTGAATCTGGCCCCAGCTGTTGCTTGGAGCAGCCCGCAGGCCCAAACATATCATACAAACGCGGTTGGTCCACCACTTCCTGCAGGAATGTGCCAGATTGTTTCTTGAACATGTCCACTTGTGTTCCTGTAATATTTCTTATATTTGTTTGGAAGATATTAAAGAACCGTGAACCTCTGGTTTTTACAGTTAGCAGATTATGCCTACGGCATTTACACTGGGTCTATTTTGCATTTTCTGTCATATATTTCGCTCCAGAACCGGTGTATTTGGATGTCCATATGTGGAACAGCCCTTCAAGTTTTTTTTCCATGTACAAGTGTATATATTATATGATACCGCTCTCATCTCCTTTCAGGTGAGTACATTTTGAGAGCTTCTAACTTTGGTGACTCATCATCTGCTTTATCGTGCAGATGATGAGTCGCAATAACGTGAGTGAAGATATCATGTCCAAACCATGAAGATATCATGTCCAAACCACACATATAAAGAAACGACGACGTTTCGGTCCGTCCTGGACATTGTGCTTTATTGTGTCTACGAACGTCATATATCGTCTTTGAATTCCCTCCATTTCAGAAATGTCTCCTGCTTTAAAGTGGGAAGTAATTAGCGAGCAACACTCGGGGCGGAAAAGCAGACATGATCTGAATAGTAGGAGCATTGTGGTGGAATTCCTGAATTTGAACGTTCTCATGATCCAGCCTATCATCTTCCTCGCTGGTGCTATGTCGGCTTCATGTTCAATAAACGCTATGTCGTCATACTTTACTCCCAGATGTTTTACATGTAGTTTCTGTTCTGTAAGAGGATCCGATTATCTTCACCCACTCCTTCCCCCATCGACCATCCAACCCGGCGCCCATCTTAAACCTCAGCCCACACCCATCATTAATTAACCCGTGAGTGTCGCTCGTCAATATTAAAGATTTTGCAGTGTGATGCGTTGGTGATAAGGCACGGTAAGTGATAGCCACGTCACCCAAGTGATAATGTTATCTTGGCTGGAGAAGTGTGCAGTATGCGAGGGTGGGTGTCATCATGTGTTCACCAAACTCTGGCTGGTTGACATTCACCTCCTGGGTC